TTGAAATTTCTTACGTTTTAAAAAGTTTCTTGCAGCTGTTATGCAATTATAACTTACGTGAAGGCTCCAACTTTGTTAGATATATACTTACAGAATTGATAATTAATTAATGAAATTCATTCGTCAATGTGGTTTTAAAATAATTAGTAACTATTTGTAATGCAGTTAGTAGTATTAATGTCAAATTATTATTCAAAATTGTTTTTATTCAACATTGAAAAACATAAAATTTCCCGGAAGCAAGTTATTTGTTTTATTAAAATAGGTAATTTTTCAAGAATAAAGTTACATAAATGGTTCTTCAGCAATTCTTTAGATGTAAATTACGTAAAGTCTCCAATTATGTTAGATATATACAGAAATGATAATTATTTGAATAAATTTATTTGTAAATATAGTTGTTAAAATAATGAGTAACTGTTTTTAAAGAAGCTATTAGTAGGTATTAATGTAAAATTTATATTTAAAATTGTTATGATTCACATTGAAAAACATAAAATTTCCTGAAAGCGAGTTATTAGTTTTATTGAAATACGTGACCTAATTTAAATTTCTTAAATAAAATAATATTACATTTCCTTATAATTTCTTACGTTTTAAAAATTATCCTGCAGCTATTATTCAGTTATAAATTACGTGATGTCTCCAACGGTGTTAAATCTATCCAGACTTGATAATTAATTGATTAAACTCATTCGTCAATGTGGTTTTAAAATAATTAGTAACTATTTGTAATGCAGTTTATAGTATTAATGTCAAATTATTAGTCAAAATTGTTTAATTCAACATTGAAAAGAACAAACTTTCCTAGTAGCGAATTTTTAGTTTGATTAAATTACGTAACCTAATCAATTTTTTTTAGTTCAGGTTTTCTACTTGTAATTTTAATATTCATCCATAGTGTGGTGGAACATGTAGCAGTGTTTTATAAATTTAGTGAAATCCACAAGATTCATTCTTTTATTTGACAATAAAATTACTTTAATAAAATAATATTTTATTTCCTTAAAATGTTCTACAATTTAAACATTAAATTAATTAACTGTTTTTCAGTTATAAATTACGTAAAATCTGAAATCTCCAACTCGCTTAGATATGTACAGAATTAATAATTAATTGGTCTTTCCTGGAACATGCAAATTTTCACGCCTGCCGCTTGCGCTACTCTTATTTCATAAATGTAACAACTAGTTATTCAGCTTATACACTGATTGCATATGTCATTTCCAGGCAAACACATGTTTATGATATGAACATGAGTATTACAGAATGCATTACACAATAAAATATTATTTATCAATTTAATTAAATACTAGGCGAATTTACGCCCCCTTGAAATAATTAACTATAAATCGTCTGCAATTGTATTCAATTAACAAATCTAAATATAAAGCAGAAATTTAATCAGAGTGATACATAAAACGCAAATTACCCGGGAGGGCCATTTAAAATTCGCGCAGTTGCACCCTAAAAGTACATCATAAATTATTCATACACAAACCTTGACTATAATTAAAGTAATTACAATTTTGAATTTGAGCGCAGAGTTGTTAATTTATTATCCAAATGAAATAAATTCTTGTTGTAGAGAGTTTCAGCATCAATTTTTATCTAACTTTTGCATTAACCAACCGACAAATACATTCGAATTAATTTTTTGAAATGTTTTATTCGTTTTTCATTATATCCACCCATATAAAAAGAGTTGAAGAAAAGCTCTGCAGCTGTGGATTGTAATTTTAATTCAAAATTATATGAAACAAAATCTTTTCTGAAATGAAAACCGACACAAATGATTAATTTTCAGATGATGGATACTCTTGAGATAAAATCTGCTCAAAAATGAATTAATATTAAATCGCATCCCTCTAGAATTATTTGATCACTAAAATAGTTCTTAAAATTCAACTTCTTGCTAAGCTTTCATCAATTTTTTAAATTAAAGGTCTCATCTGTCTTGGCAGATTTTCACTTTGTGAAGTTCCTATCAGGCTAATGCATTTGCGCGACATCGTAATTTTTAAATTATATTTTCCTTGTTATAGAAGAGTAAGTCGCAGCTGTCACATTATAATCTTAGATATTTTTCTTTTCATCTCCACTAGTAAGTGCATTTTCTACGAAAAATCAAGATCTTATATAAACTTAGATTTAGTTGTAATTGTGTATCTGTGCGTTATAGCAGGAGATGGAAGACGAGTTTTCTTAACTTGCATACTACTTGCACAGATTTTGGTTCCTGGCTTAAGGTGGATGTTGTTTTATGACATTCTATAACAAGAATATAGCTGTGCGTGGACGCAGGTTTCCTGGTAAAACCTGTATTTCCGATAACGCCCTTTTGAGGTTTGCAATATCGAATTTTGAGTAACAATGAGAAATTAATACTGCTGTCCATTGTTACTGCTCACGGAATGTAGTATTTGTAGGTTTCTGCATTAATTAAAAATTTTTCTAAAAATTTCTGCAAAACTTTCTACTACGTTGAATTTTTCCTAGTGAATTCAGGTATTTTTTAACTTTGAAAGCCGCAGTATTATTATCTATTCATTCGGAAAGCCGTTTAAAAATACCTTGGATCATTGTGCTTCTTCCGCGTTTAAAATTCTACATTTCTTTCATAGGTTAAGATAAGAACGAGTAAAATGTAAAAATATATTTATCTAAGCTGGTATAACTTGCTGCTGTGTGTATTTATAAGTAAATTTATTTAACACATAATGAAAACACAGATTAAGGGTACGTGAACATGCTGCCGAGTATTTTTCGCACGCGATCGAATAAAAACACAATTTACAAAAAAGGAACAAAACAAGCAAGAAAAATATGAAATAAACCTTTCGAATAAAAAATTTACCAAACGACTTGTCTACCATATTGTCCGCGCTGCTATTTCGTCAAAAAATCCAATTTGTTATGAAAACAACGCTGAATGAAATTCTTTTCTTCAAATACAAATACTTAAATAGTTTTATATATCTACACGTAGATGACTGGCGAAAATGGATATTTATTCCGTTTTTAATATTTACATGCCTAGTAATATTTTATTGTTTGTTTGTTTCATTGTTTGTAGATACTAGATAAATTGATAAAGAAAAATACTTCGTGGCTTCTGACTCCCGATGTAAATCCGTCACGTTTCTTGGCAGTATTTTCTTCTCAATAGATTTTTGCCAATTTCAATCGAAATACCTGATCTTTTTTCTACACGAATTTCCAGTCATTCTTGTTTGTTGTTGCCTTTTTTCAGTACGAAAGGTAAACCAATGCCCGTGTGAAATAAAACCATATATTTCAATCAAGTACGTTCGTTTGCAATCAGCCAATGTAAACAAGAAAAATTGCCACCTAGAGAGTCGGATTACTAAATAATTAACTCCTAGTATGTATGCAGCTAAACAATAGAAATTGACAAGAATGGAATAAAATGCGCATAATTTAATTAAATTTTGAAAGAGGTATAGAATAAACGTTTTAGCACCAAATACTAAATTAAAGGGGCGGTTTAATGCAGTATTATTATAATTCTACGTTTTGTTTTTCCAGTAAATAAAACTGAATTCTAAATTCATATTTTCACTGCGGCGTAAAACACGTAGACAGTTTGACGAGCCTGAATGCAAAATATTCAAAATATCGAATGTAAAAATATGGAACAAAAAAAAACTCGATCAAAATTCCTCTGCTACAGTTAAAAATAGTTTATTTCTGCATAAATATAATCCATCAAAATTAACCCAAATATACTCAATAAAGATTATCTATTCTGGTATGAAGGAATAAATCAATTTTTGTTATTAACGAACCAGTAAATAATATGCACTCATTTATAATAGCCTTAAACTTTAAAACTTAATTATTACAGCATCTAATCCAGTTAATATGCATATGAAAATTCGGCTTCAATAACATATAGGTAAATTATATTTTCATAATTTACATACGTAGGTACAGTTTAATTTTGTAATTATACTTTTAATAAACGCTGATCATGGCTATCGAGCATATTGACGTTTGAAGTTTTAGCCTCCGCGCTGGTTGGTATTTAATAATTGCTCCATTGTTCATGGTTGAGCATTGATAGATTTTCAATTATTTCATCAAAATTTCAATTTAATATTTAAATATTTAAATATATTAATATTATATTATAATCAGTTTTCACCGATCCAAAATTTATATATTCATGGGAGTAATTTGCGTAGTAATTTATCGATCTTGGTGTCTAAACACTCTAAACGAGTAGGTACTTTAAATTAAGTATAATGAAGTTGTTACACTTAACATGATACACTTTGCGCGTGTAAGTGAGATTTATTTGCCATTAACATTGACATTGACACATAAATCGTGTGAAATACCGACTTCGTTACATTCGAACATTCGATGTATTAAAAATGTAGTTGTGCATTACTTGTAATATTTACTATTTATTAATAAGTAATATTTAAACAAGAAAAGTCGAAATTAATTGAAAATTTTAATTAACTCCGTCAACATTTACCACGAATTAATTAATTCTTTTGGCAATGTGTTCATAGTTTAATAGCCCTTCGGAATGAATATTTCCAATCACAATATGCCAATATTTGCCGCTTGCAGTGCATTGTTTCATATTTTTCATATAAAGTATGAAAGATGAAAACTTTCAAACTTATAAGTACATCCTTTACGCCAACAAAGTTTACACAAAGTTTACAACTTTTATGTGATTATATTATATCTAAAACAAAGTTTAATATGATAGAAAAGCTCTTCAGTTGAAAATTTTATAGGAATTATCGAATATAACCTATCCTGACAATATTACGAAAATAACCTTAAAAAAATTGAACATTTTCGCATTTTGTTTTTTTTAGTTTATGTATAAGTATTAAAACCAACATAAATATTCATTTAAACGTATGATGAAACGTCAACATTAAAAATATAAATACATTTGCATAAATTTTGTGTGTTTTCAACTTATCTCTATAAATATTAATTATTTCACTCACCGAGCATTTTTAAAACGCGCCGCGACGACTGCGATTGCTGATGTCGGCAATTCAATTTGGCCCGCATACTCCCTTGGCCATTAACACCCACATTCGCCCCGTTTGAATGGCTGGCATCCAGGGGCGGCGTACTGCTTCGCTTCATCATACTCGAAGACTTCAACTGCACGGCAATCATTGCATATAGCACAGCGATGAGAGTCATCGGCAGGACAAAAAAGAAAAACGTCGAAATCTCAAATGTGAAGCGAATCGGATTCACCACATAGCATAGAACTTCATCGTTATCCGGATCAGTGTATAGTTTCATGAGTGTGAATTGCGTCGCTTGTGGGATGGCGAAACACACCGCCAGCGTCCAGATGAATAAAATCAGTTTAACAACGCGCGAAAGTTTGCTCATTGTATGCGAAAGAAATGGATGGCAAATAGCAACATAACGCTCGATGGTAAATGCAGTAATTGTTAAAACTGTGGCGTTCATGGAGGTTTCAGCGAAGAGTCCACGAAGCACACAGAAGGTGTATCCAAAGACATACGGATAACGACTCCAGATCAAATAAATCTCCGGTGGCAATCCAGATATCAACAGCAGGAGATCAGAAATGGCCAAACTGAAGAGGTAATAGTTTGTCGCCGTGTGCATTGATTTATTACGCGCGATCACGATACAAGTGGCGATGTTTCCAACCAAACCAGTTATAAAGATAATTACGTAGATTATTGTTATTGGTATAACTATGTACAATGCGTCCCGTTTTGCAAACTCGACAATTTCGGCATCGCTGGCGTTCGATTCCTCAAAGTTTGTGAAATTCGCGTCGAAATCCATAATGGTTTTAGTTTAGCACTAGTTTCAACCGCACATTTTACACACGTGATGATGTTGTGAACAATAGCACTGGGAAAACAGGTTTAAAGTGATCACAAATAACTTTTTCGTAACTTTTGCTGCGTGTGGTTAAACTCCTCGCAATCCTGTGCGTTTGTGCGACGTCGTTCGAAGGAGCAGGAAAAGCGCACTCCGCGTTTGCGTGGCCGCGAGGAGTCGAAATGCCAGCGCCGAAACGATCGCATGCGCAGCCAGCGACTGAATTCCGAATTCAAGCAGCAGCGACGAGCATTCGAGCAGAGAGCAGCAGGTTGTTCGTCTGTTGGGCCCCGGCTCATTTAACTTCGTCGTCGCCGTTTCATTTTGCCTTGACTCTTAAATTGTAAATGTTTGTCTCGTGTATGTATCCTCGTCTTGACCGCTGAGTGAGGTATTATGAGCATACTGAAACGTCGGTTGGTTTTATCCAACTGTCCGAAATTGCAACTTGTTTGCGGGGTCGCCTCGGACAAACATTTTCGGGCTGTGGTTGGCAGCTTCGCAAATACGAGTATACCAGTGTCCGCAGCAAATAATACAAGCAACCCTGTCCTTTCAATAAACGCCAGCTAGAGTTACTTCGTTACACACTAAGCTTTATAGGTTAATCGAATATTAAAAATAAACAGATAGAAGAATTTTATATCATTCCACAAATAATTTAATCAGTTAATGTAATTATCAATAAATATTTTAATAGTTTTAGTTTTTAGTTATATACAACTGATATAATTATACATTTTATTCAAAATATTTTGCATATTTTCAAAATTCTGATTTATTTACAGGTTCCTGAACATCTGGTGAAATCAGGATTAACTTATTGTTTGGACCAATTCAACTGTTACGAATAAATTCCAGAGATGAGAAGCAGTCTGGAAAACAAGAAAACTCGAAAAAAAATGCAGAAAAAACTAATGGTGCGTAGGTAAACACAAATTGATAGCATGCAGACAGACGTACTTGAATGAATTTTAAAATCATTACAGTTCTATTTTTGTATATAAATTCGCGCATATTTCAATATTTCTGTAAGAATGATAACATAATTAATTATTTTTCAGAAAAAAAATTATTCATTCATGAATTTGTTTTATTTTTCATTGTTCTGTGTGTTTTCTTTATTTGTTTGACGATGAATAAATATACTTACACATTTTAATGAAAATGCTCTCAAGTATTTACATTATGAAATAAAAAAATGTTAAAAAATGATCGTAAATAATGTATTATTGTGGGTTATTGTGGGTTTAATTTGTTATTTACAAAAATACATTGTGTTAATGATTTTATTATGGTGAGGATAATATTTTTATTCATGTGGTTTTGGTTTGTTTCTATGTAGTATTAATACGTGTTTTGTTTGGAAGTTTATGATAAATGATGAATATCGTACTTATTATACCTCTTCGTACCGTTTTAACTTAAGTTGGGGCGATGATTTATCGAATACTTTTATCCCGATACATTTCCCACTTCCGCGAATCCCCGAAAGGGCAAAGTGCTTTTCCTAGTTGTGATTTGTTTTTATATTTTTTCAGCAAACGCAATAAAACTGTTCAGCATTGAATTCTATTGTATTTTGGCATAAAAACTTGTTTTTCATTTACAAAAAATAGATAAAAATTCCTAGAAAATTTCTACCAAAACAATGAACTATGGTTTTATTTATATTTTTTAATCATGTTAAAAAAATTACCCCTAAAAACCTGTTAGAAAAATTCCAGGGAATTGTTAGCGTCAAAAGGATTTACTTTTTCAGCGTCATTGTCTCGCATTTTCTTTAATTACTAATTAACCTGAATTAAAGCTGATGCAAAATGAGCAGAGGTAATCGTGCGACGCAATTAACATTTTCTTTTAAAAGCGCCTTCAATGTTAAATTCTCTACAACAGACTAAATATCGAATCGAATCAGTACAACCGTTAAGCATCTTTCTAGGTCGATAGGGATTAAATTTCTGCTTCCTATTTTGTTGACGCTCGTTGAACTAATTCCCCGTATTTACCGTAAAAAGCTAACATTGCAATATTTTCCACCCTTTAGCGATAGCTTTGAAATAAATTTTACCTTCACTCCGGGATTATTTGCAGAAATAATTTTTCAATCCATGATTGTGTTTACCATGTATCCAACTAACTTCCGAACATCAGACTTGACTTTGTGATTATTTAGATTATGCCGTCAGCGACATACGCGTTGTAATAATGCTCTGATGATTAAATGATTTTGCCAGCTAGATTATGCAAATGAAATGCGTAGAACATTGTTCAATCGACCCAACTTTTGTCCTCGCGAAACAATGGCTCAAGAATTCAGTTAGCGTAAAGTGTAAACAACAAAAAACGGCTATCATTTGTCATTTTGCCCATTGGGGCTTTTTTCCCGGCGCCATAATTTATAAATAATCAGATGGACCAGACCAAAACAGCTGTTAAAACTTGGGTTGTGGGGTTTGTTTGTCAAATAAACCTGTCAGTTTTGAAGGTCAGGGGACGCACACATTACATAACCTCACTTTAATGCTACCAATGCATTTATTGTTGTCATGTATGCAATTTTAGGACTGCTTCCATTGAAAACATAAATTTCGTGTTGGTTTTAACATTACCACATCAAACAAAATCCAAAGTTGTAAAAATTATAACCGTTATTTAATTTATGAACCAAAATGAATGCCAAATTAAATGAGTTCAACGACCTTTGGTAATGTTGCTTTTTGAATTCCAGAGTGTGCTATTCGTTTTAATTTCAGACTGGCGACGATGTTAATTCCCAAACCGAACTATATTTGTTTACCCAGCGAATTTGCCTTGCACACAATCATTCAGTCTCGATTGAATTTTATTGCATTTATTAGTTATTATTTAGCGTGTGTCGTTGCTTGTATTAACAGCACCACAAACAATTAAATTATGAAGGACAGCAGAATCATATACAATGATGCACATAAATTCTTACGATAATAAATATATATTTTTGATTGAAATAGAAACCAATGTACGATGAAATAAAAAAAGAAACGCAAATCATTGCCGCAAAAACAAGAATTAATTCTAGAGTCAATTCTCGTTTCATTTCCGGATTTATCAAACCATCTTCATATTTTTTTTGTCCTTTTTTTTCGTGATACGTAATTTATATTCAATATTTTTTGCGTATGTTTATAGAAATTGAAAGAATTTTTCTGAACATAACACTCAGTAAGTAGTGTATGGAAATTCAGGATATTACGCAATGCAAAATGTTCGTTATCGCGACTCGGACAAATTAATAGAAATGGCATGATATAGCAAAAAAAGTTTTCGCAGCGCATTAGCATAATTATATTGATACATAAAACATGAGGACGAGTCCTGCGAGTTGCAAATCGGGGCATAACGAGCAATTTATACAGTTTGCTTTCATATCGGTAGAAGTATAATAATTAGTCGGTCAAAGCTCAAAGCTAAATTCACACTATATGCAAATCAATGTATACACATCCTATATGTCTGGTTTCACATTCAAAAGGAATACATGATAGTCAGAACTACTCTATTTCCGGTAACAACGTTCAAGTGAAGGATTATTCTCATACTTTAGTTTAGCATGGAATTGATGATATCACAAGCTGAATTTATTACTGAGAATAAATGCACATATTTCGCAATATTTCCGGTCTTAACTATTTTTATCGGCAAAATGGATTTGGATTTGGATTTGGATCCTTGTTTGTTTCATGTCACAATTTTTTTAACGCTTGACAACTCGGGTTAATTATTTCGAAGGGCTATATGAGAAAATCAACGTCAATCGGATTTTTATTTGCTCGTCAGTTTGCACATTGGAAAACAAATATAGATTTAGGTATATATGCGTATGAACTATTATTTTTGCTGAAAAAAATAAATGGTTTGATAAAAACAAAATTTTTAATCCAATTAAAATGATTTTAACCTAAAGAAAACGTCGAATTTACATTTAAATAAAAGTTTATTATTTAAATATGTTTACAAAGCGTGTGAATAATTCTTTGTAATTATTATGAAGTCTACACAATTGTTTATATTTCATTAATGTAATTTTTGATAAATATAAAATAATCGTTGCCATTTCGGTAATAAAAAATCACTCACACACATTACTAATTGTTAAAATTGTTAATTTTAATTATCAAGGTCAGAACATAATTTTTTGTGTGAATTATGAATTAACGTGCTTAATTAACAAGTTTTGCAATGAAACACATACTTCCTAATGTCTTGTGCGTTTTGTTTTAATGTTAAAGTAACGTTAGAATATGATTTTTAATATTTGTCTACTAATATAATTGAATAAATAATTAATTTAATAGTTAATTGTATAATGAGAACGCAGAACAATTATTCTATGTGAATAAATATTATTCGTATGTGTTTACGTGTAATTAATTGCGCTCATCATGAGCAATAAAACTATACACTGGAAGCGCACTAATCACAAATTAATTGCTAGTTTGTATAAATTGTTTTAATTGCTAATTGACCACTAGCAACAGCTGAAATGAAAGCCTTTAAATGTATCATTTCACGAAATACTTGAGAGAGAATTTACGGAGAAAACTTAAATACCATATTTGATTTAGCATTAAATTATTAAATTAAATATGTTTTGATCATAGTCTTTACAAAATTGAATCAATAAACCAGTTTGACTTGAATTATTAATTTATTAATTGCTTAACTCATGCTAAAAAACATGTAGGTACAACTATGTATTATTTGTATTATAAATTTATTTATAATTTAAAAATTATTAAAAATAATTTTACTTCAGCAATGAAAATAAAACTTTTGATTGTTAAATACTAACAAATATGTAACACAAAACTTTTAGTGTATTGTCGATTTAATTTATTTGATTATTTAAATGGAATTGTGGAATTTATATATAAATCCTATATGAATAAATCCTAAAAATTACAAATTAAAAGCACAAACGATGCAATGTGTAATTGGTAGTTATGTCACGAATTTTTCCATATGCAGATTATTATTTTTTATTTCGTTTATTTATTTTTTTGTACGGAAATATTGGAAAATACGTTTTTTTGTTCTTGTTTTATGGCCGAATTGAATCTCGAAATATCGTAATACTCGATGCTCGCGTTGGAATTCCGCCTGAATTAATAATCGCCTTTGCGAACAAGGAAATCAGCATCAATTCACTTTATGATCTGCCAACGAAGTATGCGTTCGCGGTATAAATGCTCGAAGTTAAATTAAACGACCTTGATTCACATCATTCAACTGGTTCTAAATTTTAACATTTCCTAAATTAACCACAATTATAAATAATACATGATTATAGCAGTAGTGTGGCTCAACATAAAAAAGTAATACCTACGTTTTAAAAATGGATTATTTTATCAATTAACATACGAGCAATGTAAAAATAAAATCGCGTTGAATTAATAATGCTTGCATAATCAATGCAGAAAATAAATTTTCCATTAAATTTAGTATACAGTTAGTGATTTAATATTTATACACTAAAACAAAGTCATTAATTTTTAATTAAAAGTCAATTCTGTTTTTACGCGATAAAAGTAACAAAATTAACTCGAAACAACGTAATAAATAAATAAATAACGATAATTACTTATGAATCTAAACAGCAACATGAAGATCAATATCACTGTTAAAAGTATCAAAGTTAAAAGTATAATTAATAAAAGATTACCGGTGGAGTTCGACAATGCAGTTTATCATCGAGAAAACAGATTAATCAAATATAGAAATCGATAGTGTTTGTTCTGTTGGTTGGAAAAGTTTTTGTACAAAAGAACTCCTGCAACAAAAGGGAAATTAAATTACTCGTGGTAACAATGTTAATGGAGCGTGTAATCGAGTTACAAAAAAAATTGTGCCTTTTATACGAATACTGATGAATGAAAATTTATGCCAGTAGTATTATATTTATAACTAACTAGCGACCTGCCCCGGCTTCGCACGGAAGTAAAAAACCGCATCAAAATCCGTTGCGTAGTTTCAATGATTTAAGCATACAAAGAGACAGACAGAGAAAGCGACTTTCCTTCTCCAAACAAAAACATCAACCGGTCAACTTCAACCCACACGTACACACATACACACGTCTATGCTTGGAGGGGGAAGCTACGAAGCATCGCACAAAGAGCAGACGTGAATAATCGAAAACTTTGTATTTACGACATCACATTAGAAACCTCAAAAATAACAGTACTTCTCCACTATTTAATGGATGTTATTATACATACAAACCTTCCTCTTGAATCACTCTATCTATTAAAAAAAACGGCATCAAAATCCGTTGCGTAGTTTCAAATATTTAAGCGAACAAAGGGATCGGAAAAAAAAGCGACTTTACTTTATACTATGTAGTGATGAGACAAAAAATCGAATTAAATTTTTTTAATATTTAATAAAGAAACTAAGTTTTATCATAAAAGTAGTTAGGTTGTTTTAACACTTTATTATATGCTGGTTACAAATTGACCTTAAATCTAACTTCTAAATTAAGAGTTGAGTAATTTACTCATACGCTTTATTGGCATTTCCATTATCTTTACTTGTAGATGCTTATCTGCGAAACTTGGTTCGTTAGTTGAATACTTAACTTCATACCGTATACGAGTACGCTTTCTCAACAATAACAGCGATTATGATTACGATTAGGTTTGTGAATTGCCCGCATATTTCTCGGAGTGGTATTAACTCTATTTCGGCACGTCTAGCGGGTGAAAATCGATAATGACGAACATTTCCAAGGCAGAGGGAAAGCATTATGTCAAAAAAATAAATTTGATCTAAATACTATATATTTTATTATAGAATATTAAGTAGCAAGTGGCTAAACTGGAGTTTTTGTCACGTGATTAATTAAGAGCCAGCGTAGCGAGTGTTCAATCAACCGAGTGTTTAAAAACGTTTAGATATGTGATGCTTACGCTATTTATTCTACTTTCACTCTATTTCCATGCTCAGGTTTTTGTATTTGAACTTTGGTATTTTAAATCTTTGAAATTTGCTTGCATACTACTGGGAAATTTAAGGATATAAATGCCAAATGCGCAGGCGCAAGCTCCACCCAGTGACTAAAATTCGTAACTAAAATACTTTAGTTACGGCTTTGACTTTCCGTGCTTAAAGTGCCACTTTTTGTGTCTCAGAACTGGCGCTTTAAAAGTGAAAGTAGAAAAACATGTAATAATTTTAACCTTTTTTTAAATTGTCTGCATAATATTAAAAAACAAACAACTTTATCTTTTAATATCCCTTAGTTATAAATAACAGAAAATAAAACAAATACGTATATAATTCCAAGGGATATATGTACGTACATATTATTTATTGCTTCATATCTTCCACTGGTGCTTCTTTATAATCCCTTTTTATATCTACATAAGCATAAAAAGAAATATTTACTACTCAATTATCCACAATCGTTAAAATCATGATTTCCGTTCCAATAAAAATAAAAAATAATTTATTGTTTCATTTCTAGAATAATAATATATATTTATATATTATTATATTTTATTCTAATTTTAATACAATCCGCTTTACATGAATAACCATGCAAAAGACATTTTTAACCTGCTTACGTAAAAAACTAACATGCACATAAAATACCTACGAGTTGTACAAAAGTATCACATTCTAGGATCAGGACTCGTTGAGTATCCATAAATGTAGAGACTGCGTGGGTGTAATCCCAGCCGACATACAAGCACTTTCTAACACGACGTGCGGCGGTATTATTCGGTTATAAAGTTTTATTCGGTTTTTGCCGGGACATCGACAAGTCTTCGAATCGTGGACCACGGCATGTTCAATTTTTTTTCTTCGCTGGTAAGGATTACATCTTCCAGTGAGTTTTATGTTCGTTTTCTCATACGCTTGCATTTACGAGTTATTCATTCAGGTAGATAATTGGATTGTTATTCTAGGTAGGTACAATGGTGCAGAATGTCGAAAACATTAAATTTTTCTTCGACCTTATCTCGAGCTACCATGTCAACGCAAACCAAAGTTACATGCATCAATAATTTCAGGAGAGTTTTCCGGCATTGTGCAGTACACATTTTTGAACTAAAAATAAGGAAAAATAAGTACTTAGAATTTTTTATTGGGTAAAGAGCTTTTATTGTTCTTAAATGAAAGTAGTTGAGTTACTTTTATAGTTTCATGGTAAATAAGAAAAAAATTAAAAACTAGAAAAGTGCCAATAATTGAATAGTGCCGGAGGAAATAATATTCAGGCAATAAAAACTATTCTTGCACAACTAAGAAACAAAACTTGAACCTCATTAATTTTTATTCAGAGTTTTCCTTTATAGTTAATTGTCAATTAATTTAACAATCAATGTAATTAAAATTTCTTGTATTTGCTTTATTTTTATATTTAACTGGCAAGATTCACAAAAATCTTTGAAAAATATTTCATAGACATAATAAAATATTAATTTCATCCCTTTGGTAGTTTAAAATTACCAAAATATTTTGGTATATAATTTTGAAACACAATTGGAATTTACTACCTATGTTGTTGCGCAAGATAATATTTTATAGTTCTAAAAACGCCGATAAATGCGATTCGACGTGAAAACGGCGAAGGGTTTGGAACTACCCTCATAAGGCACAATGCCGTTGATTGGAGACTTGCTATGACCCATGTGGCTGATACGGTAAATTCCGGGAGTGTAGCGTTCGGTAATATGCCAGTAGATTGTCACGCGGCTCGACGCCAGGAATGTACGTTTCCACCAAAACCTATTAATTCACAGAAGAAGTTAATTAAATTTTAAACTAAAAATGTTCATATTGAATTTTAGAAACATGCTGTCACAAAAGCAAAAAAAAAACTTATTTGAAACTATTCTGCTAGAAAAGTTGGAGTTGCGGATGAAACAAAAGCAAAACTAAAACAGCTACATTTTCACCATTTGCGGCAAGTTGGGTGTGAAAATACATTAAAGTTAATTGCCTCGTGTCCCAGCTGGCGTCGGTCGCGACCACTTCCCACCCATCTTCCGTCTGCCTCTCAACGTGCAAGTAACTTCCGCCGTGCCTCAAGTTATTCCTAGGATGACCCGACATCTGAAGGGAAAACAACACAATGATTTTATATCAAAATAGCTATTTATATAATGTGTTTTTTTTGCAACATACAAATTGGACAGTAACAGTGTCGCCTATGTGATATTCATTCTGAGGCTGGACGAGGCAGTCGCCAAAGTGTCTTTTAATCTCGGGGAGATCTAGTATCACCGGGGTGACGAAAGATATCTGCTTGTCGGTGGCATCTTCCGGGACCGGTCCCTCCGGAATTGATTCACCCTGCAAATGATAGCGACAAGCTTTAATTAAGTTCACTCACCAAACCGGCGACGTGCTTTTATAAATATTTACGGAATTTAATCAGCCGGATATTGTCATTTGCTATTTTTATATATAAAATCTAATTTTTGAAAATTAGTTTAAAATACCGTGAGGAGAGCTTTTAAAAGCTTCCTATACTGTTGCATATGAATGGACAGAGTGTGTGGTCCGTAAATTGTTGAAGCACCTTCATAACGTTGAACCTGAAACACAAATAAATTATTTAATAACAAAAATCAATAAAATATGTCATTATTACTTGATATTCTTCAAATGTTGTGATATAATCAGTATAGGTATTGCTCAATCCAGCGATAATGACCGTAGCGTCTACTCCGGAAACTTCCTTCGCCACCTGATTGAGTGCTTTACGCATGCGTCGACCGGACATTGTTGTAAACTCGCCCGGAATGGCGGCAATTACTAAATCACCAATCATTGCAACTTGTGTCGATAAAATTGATGGCTGCCAATCATAAGGTAACTTCATCTGTTTTATTATTAAATAAAGTGTGATTAGTAAAAACATTTTTAAATAAAAAATATATAATCAGTACTCTTCCAGTTGCTAGTAGAATTGGCTTAGGTGCATGACACTCAATATCATCAGGTTCAGGCTGCTGGAGAAAGTCCCGAACCAAGTTCCAAAACTCATTGGAAGTCACGGTGCCCTGTTGGAAATCAAATTCACCAGGACCGTCGGTAGTGCCCGCAGCAAAACTGTAACCCATAGCCGGTACACATCCCTTGACCTTGAACAAAAGTTTCGGGCAAGTTTATTACAACATCACAGGAAAATTTATTAATAAGATTACCGGACTATATTAGAATACAGGCGAAACTTTGGCAAAACTTAACCTTAAACTTACCGTTTGTTTTTGACCTAAATCATCAGTGATTTCCACTGTTTGCTCCGGCATATTGACGAATTGATGAATGGACTTAATAGGCCCGCTTATTTTACGTCCGGTTGAAGCAAAAACATTCTGTAATTATTTGTTTATTACAGAAATAATTTAATAATTAATATTAATATGTTTATACCATTGCTTCTGCAAATATTCTGTTGGCAATTATGCTTGTACTCTCATAGATATCATTTCCGGGTCCGGAGGCAATGCAATAAGTAGCTAATCCGCCGCAAGTGCTTGTATTGCGGTCGCAATTTTCCCCAGTATTGATGCACTTTGCTCCCTTAATGTTCGGGGACACATCTCCCAAATTAGCCGAAGCAAACGCAGCCACAAATTCACCCTAAGCAGAGGAAATGTAATCATTCAGAGAAATATAATGTGAGGTTAGAATTGTACCCGTCCTGGAAGTGCGCCATTGTTCATACTATCCTCAAACAAAATTGCAGCGTAACCAACATTATCGGATGTCACCAAATGATTAGTGTTGTTCATTGAAGTTGGATGCACTGCAAACCAGTTAATCACGCCGATTGGCTTACCATCTTTGGTTTTGAATTTTAGCTGGTATAGTTCTTTATCAACATTATGTTCATATCTATAAATATTCATTTAATAGAAGATAAATTTTTATTTAAAAAAAAATAAAATCTTACTCAGCTTTTTCTTCTTCCGGGTTTTGATCGTACGCTGATGGACTTCTATTAATATTAGCATCCAGGACCTGACCAACATCATAATAAATCTCACCATCAACCATTTTGTTATGAGCATTTTCAATTGCTTTGACAATACCATCCACAATCGCATCAAACGTTTCCTGTACGAAACCCAAGCAAGTAATATCAAAAACGACATCCATGAGGTATCCCCCGGGTCCACCGTGAGTGTGAGTTCCACTCAAGATGACATTATGTTCGTTGTATAGTAAATCCCCGTACTTTTCTTGGAGTTGACGCAGGATTACACGCCGCAAAGCGTGACCCATCATTCCGATGTCGGCGGAAACAAATGTTAAGCGGGATATACCATCATCGATTATGAAAGCGCGAGCAAATTGACGCAGGTGTAAACCTTCGCCTTTTTGCGTCAATTTCGCATAACCCATCTGGAGCAAAAAATATTAAAAGTGAATTTTGTGTTTGCGTTGTTGAAATTAAAATTGCTTACGAAAATGACTTCAGCAGGTGGTCCAGTCACGTCGGCAATACCGACACCGATTTTGTATTCGGCGTTTGCATGCCAAGCGCCCATAATGAGCGTGACACCGAAAAGGAGCGCAGAAGTCTGCATGGTTATTAGTATTCTCCGAAAATCCTCTGCACGTAACTTTTATATCCCTAAACTGAATTAACTTTGTCCAGGGCCCGCTTGTTATTTTAGCGAAATGTACTGCGCTGATGTATCGTGCCTCTGTTTATATTCTTTTTTCTGAAGTTCTATTTTTGTCGTGTTTTATTTTCTCATTTTTTTCAAATGCTTCGATGTTAATGTAATGCAAATACGACAACTAAATTCACGAATTTATGTATCTCTCTTGCTGGCGCCGAGTTTCCACGTTGAGTTATGTAAATTCCAGTCGCGTCGGTGTTGTTCGCTCACGGGCTGAAAATTCGAAAATACCACCGAAGATTAACATTAACAATTGCAAAAAACAAAAAAGCTTAAAATGCTAGTATTGTTAAAAGAGCTCTGAAATAATATGATTGGAGTAATGGAACATCAACAGAAGTGCAAAATCCAAAACAAACAAATCCAAAACAAACAAAGCTGGTGTGGAAAAGTGATTATGTATTAGATTACACTTGGAAATGACGCAATTCCTCGAATTAATTAAATTACATACCAAGTACAGACTGTATGTTAAAATACGGAAAGCTTATGATGTTCGATTTTCGATTAACGCCATCACCACCCTCGGTGGCTTCGCACTAGCCTGATGAACACAAATTGCCGATAAATTGGCTCGGTATTGAACTACGTACGTACAAATGCCACAAATCGTGAACAACAGTTTATATACTCACGTTGCACAAGTACCCATGAGGTAATCGCGCAATTTACAAAGTAAACATCGATTACGTACGATATCGAGTTCATTTGTGAAGCCCTTCTACTTCAGCTCACTTGAAAGATTTAATATCACGTGATATTAAACAAAAATCAGCAACACATCATATCAAAATGTATCACAACAAATCGGTTTATTCCCAAGTCTTAAATTAATATATAAAGCAATCTCATACAAAAATATAGCATTTTCAATAGTATGCAACTTAATATACTGGTAGCTATAAAGGCGCGCATCCCGGCAACTCTACCAACACACGAAAAGTTATGCTATTCCATGTGCGACGCCGGCAACGAAAAATATATTTGCTTCATTGAAAAGTTTTTTAATAACACGCTCCCGCTTTTATGAGCATTTAAAATATTTTCGGAACGCAAAGCATATACGAGTACGTCGTTTTACTTGGATTGTTAGCGAGCATAAGTAATAACTGATTAATTGCTTCGTAATTTATATGCTTGCATAATTGACATTCTCGTAATTATGAGTATACATTACATGAGACTATTAAACTCGTACCTCCAAATCTAACTTGAAATATTGTCTGACATGTTAAAGTTTGCACTCGATTTCCATATAAATATTCAGCTGAATGTAAAGTTCTAAGTGTGGAAATTTGAGTTATGTGTCTAGAATTTTGATCTAATGTTCCTACGTTAATCAAAGACAAAGTTTCGTGAGGTATTGCAATTTGTCGCTGTCAATCTCAACTATTTTAAACCTTTGATTAAAAAGAATCAAAGTAAATTAATGTTAATTCTATCGAAATAAATCGAAAATACTACTCGTACCTACCATTTGGGCTGCTCATTCACTAAAAGCTTCTCACTATTAATTAATCACTACCGTCGACTTTTCATGAACATATATCATTAAATCAACTTTATAGTATCACAAATATATCACACTCGAAGTAATTACACAAATTTTTGTCCTAATTTAATTATTATTATCAAAGTGGATTAATGTTGGGTGTTCATCCAACAAGAAAATAAACACAACTGTTTGGAAATATATATGAAAAAAAAAATAACAGTGTTAACCTTAGGCGAGACAGCCCGAGAGAGGTTGAGACATTTGTTGACAAAGACAATGGATTCGATTTAATTTCAATGTCGTACGAACTGAATCGTCGGTCATTGTAGAACTCGTTGCGTGCGCTAATTAGTATTCCAGAGCGTGTGTGCATTGCGTTTGATTTCCTTGCGTTTGATCATTATTCCACTTCTGCCTTCGTCTGTTGGCTGCCAATGACTCAGTCAATCGGTCATGCCTTAATTGTGAATACAAAAATAATTAGATGAGTGGAAACCCATTCCAGGCACGTGTTGTGTATATCATTCAGATTGCGTTCAACGATCCAGACATTCAAGTAATTAAATTCAAAATTGGTATGGTCATGGTGTTTTTTAAAAAATTGTCTTATATTACTCGGAAATCTTTATTATTTAGAGTGTATAAGTTTTTATTTATTTTTTAAGAAAAAGAAAAAAATCTATTTTTATTTATTGTTGAGTTGATACATTACACTCAATACTCGTGGCGGAAAATCAGTTGTCGTCAGCTTATTGTTATAACTTGGTTAGATATGTGTACAATATACTGTTTCAGTAGGTAATGTTGGTATGGAAACCAACTATGTTTCACTACGCGTCGAAAACTGTAAACTATGTGATATTGTCTCCGATACAAAGCCAAAACTAAAACAAGGATGCAATCAATCGCGCATAATTTACACTGCACATTCATCACCATACATAACGCAGCACATCAAAAGTTTTGACTAAACCAACAATTTAGCTTTGTTGACTTCCGCTTTTCAGTATTTACTGCAATTTGTAAGAAAATTTCCACATTTTTTATTGCGCACTCATTAAAATATTTATTGTAAATATAAATTGGAAAAAATTTATTTAATTGTTTGTTTTAAAGTTTTTATCGTGAATATTTTTACAAATAAATATTGCGAAACTATGTTGATGAATGTTGATTTGCTGTTTCGAATGTTTTATTTATGAAAATGCAAATATTGACTTAACAAAATAACCACAGTCAATACCTATACTTTTATGTAATATATTTATTTATCTATGTACCTATCTATATTAAAAATTATAATACTTCCCTTTTTCACTTTTAACATTTTTTATACTTACAAGTATATCATACCTACTTGAATAATATTGTTAAGTAGTTTTATTCTGCAAAACAAGTACTCAAAATTGTGCAACATCACGCATCAGTCAAGTTATAGTGGAGTGAATTTTATGCACTTCATTTTCAACGTGTCAGCCACGTATTTATTGAATCAAAGCTGTCAAAAACGATGTAAAAACCGCAGAAAACAAAAGATAAAGCAGACATGTTGATGCGATTCATAACTCGGTTGATAAATCTGTTTTTTACCTACAAAAAAACATTTCATTAATTCTGGCAACTATAAATGTCAGTTAATAATGATAGATGCCGACAAGATCTACACAGCTAATTATTTCTTCACATGCCGATGACGATTCCAGTTATTCAATCAAAAAAACAATGCGAAACAGACACAAACAGACGTAAAAACGAACACAAACAAACAAACATCATACATATTAATATTAATGAGATCTAAACATTTGTGCTTTATATAATTTAAAATATATGCTATACATTTATATGGAAAGAAATTGAATTTTACATTTTCGAGCACTTGAACATCATAGTAAATGATGTGAGAATCTCATCTTGAAAATTAAATTCGAGTTTTTATCGAATCAATTTTATTGAAAACTTTAATATAAAGTTATGCAAATTAAATTTTCTTTTCACTTTTCTCCGAATATTGGCAATATTTATGATCAAATCATGATTTTACTATATTTTTATCTTCTTCATAAATACCATAATTAATCGTTAAAGAAAACCACTTGATATCAATTACTCACGTTCTCTGTCTCGCTTGTAATAACTTTCATTCTTTCTATCAATTCGTCAGTCCCATTGAACTTTCTTGATTAGATTTATCGTTACTTCCAGTTTGATTATGATGAATGTTCAGTGTTTACTGTTCAAATCCACGCTCGGCGATTTTATTGCAGATGATTTTATTGTCGCAATTATTTACATTGGCGGTTTCGTATAATTAAGTAGGATACCACTTTACGAGGATTGTTTTTATTGCGATATACATTAAACGAAAACAATCAAAGTTAATTGAAATAAAAAGAAGTGAAAACCTTGGGAAACAACTTGAAATGTTTAAATATTCGACTTGTAGCGGACATGTAGCGATATCTATAAACAAATGCACGAACTAACTTTGTATCATGTAAAGCGTACTATAAATTCAAACATTTTAGTATTTAACAAGTTTTCAATCAAATTTATCATTAAATTTAAATATATTTCATCTTATAAAGAGCATTTTAAGCTTTTTTTTTTTCAATTTTCTTAAAATTAAAAACAAGTTTAATCAAAAATACTTTTTAAAAACTGAATTTTTACACATTTTCTATTTTTGATATGCAAATTTTTGGCATGACGTTCTGACATTTGAAGAAATTCATATCGCCTAAGTATGAATAATGTGCACTTTGCTAATGGCATAAGTTATGCAATATTGTCAACGCCCATCTTTTACGTCACTTCCTAACTCATTCATCGCGAAATGCCAAATACTCGTGAAGATTATAAGATAATCAATACAAGAACCATCATTATCATTGTGAATGATGCATAACTGCAAGATATATTTATGTTTATTCAACTGTGTCAGTTACTCTAAACACTGCTGATCTCAGTGGAAGGAGATGATTTGAACATGAGCATATTGCGCACATGTGTTCCCACAACGCTCCGAAGGTTCCAACACTCCCACATCCGCACCAATACTACTAAATCAACAGACTCATTTATCTCAATTGTCGATCCAACATTCAAAACGATTTCTGACATTCATGTTAGCAAGCAGAGACAATTTATCAACAGTGCGACATTATTACACATAGCCTGCAAGTGTTTATAAGATGTTTGATGTATATTTTCAAATATTTATAAAAATATACAGGTAGAAAGTGAGACGAGTTTCGTGATATGAAGCAGTGTAAAAACCGGTTCGCGTGGGTCAAGCCATGACCACACTCGGCGAGTTCCGACTACCGACTGTTTATCTACCGCCGGATCGTCTTCGGTAAGAAGCTAAGAAGTTCAAGAAGGGGAAGAAGAAGAAACGTCTTGTCTCCAAGACCTGCACCAACCGGCGTATTTCCAATCTACGATACAACGCGAGTGCTGCGAGTTATAAAATGTAAAACTGTGGGTTAAGCTAAGGCCAACGCTGAGGAAGACTCCGCAATAAAATCCAGAAGCTTGCGTTGCATTCACACAGTGCCGACGCTGCACAAAGTCGATAAACTGCTGTACATGCACATTGTGCTAGGAAAAGCGATCCAAGCGCTCTCCACACGCATCGACCAGCACCAAGCACAGCAGAAGCTCGAGAAACGTCAGATACGCCGGGAGGAAAAAGCTCTCAAAAGCTCCAACACTGCTTCACTCCCAAAGTTACCGTAGTCTTGTGTTCATTTAACTCCCAACCATCCCAGACGCACACTGTTTCAACATTGATGTGAACTAATAAATGAGCTTTCAAGCTCCACCAACATACCTAATATGAAGTTATTAATTTTGTGAAAAGCTCGAACGTCTAGTTTTAATTATAAGTCTTTACGGCTCCAGTGACTCGTAATTTGTGAACATTGTGCGCGAAACTTTCTGACAGAGTAATTTTAGACTTTGTGTTAGTGCCACACTCGATAAATATCATAAGGTAAAGTAAATTTAGATTTTACGTGCTTTGATCTGCCATATAACCTCAAAATTCACAAGCGTATGATACAAACAAGGGTGAATTCATCCCCTAGCAAGCGTCACACATCGAAATTATTTGATTTAAAACAAAATGTCACATCTTGCATGCAATTTATGACTGAATTGCGTACACATGTTTGAAATAAAATTTCTAGAAGTTTCGTTATCAACTAAAACATGCTTTATCAAAATAGAAACAAATGTTAAGCATATATCCTCCGGATGACACGATTTCATTCATCATACTGCATGTAATTCTTATAATATTAAGCGTTTTGTTAGCGTTGAGTTATTTTTAAGCACACAGAAGTTTTCGAATATTTTAACATTCTTGTACATTCGAAATATTAATTGTTGCAACCGGAGGATGTTGTCGAGTGCGTACGTGACTTGTTGGTTCGTAAATGTGTCGTACGGTTCCGACTTGCAAGTTAATCAATTTTTTCCGTGACCAATCGCGCCGCATTTCTGCTTCGTTTCTGTTTTAGTAATTATGAGCGTACACTGCATGCACGCAATTACACTCGTTGGCTATAGTTCCATCATGCAACGACAACGACAAAAAACTGAAGAAAATCTTATTTTATTCTTATTAACAATCTAAATCGTTAATGTAATGTGCAATCGCGATGAGTGTATCGTAATTAGTGTCACTTGTGTGCAAACAATCAAGCGTCGAATGAACTTTAGCGAATCTAACGCTTCGAAGACGATTCACTGCAATAGCAATAATTGAACACGCGTTGTGACACATAACACACGCAGAACAAGTAATGGCAATTGTTGGTTTACATTTTAAACGCATCTGTTGATGTTAATGTAGCGCGGAATGAAATCTGCTTCTAATGTTTGTTCTTGCGGTTTAAAAATAAATTCAATTACACGCGAATTATTTTCTGCATGCTGCGAACACCAGCTTCTGAGTTCGTGTTAAACTAAACCGCAGACATAATAAATGTCAACCGTATGAAAATATATTCATTTCAATCTTAACTTTGCGTTTAGATTAAATAATTTAAACTCAAAAATATGTATTAATTTATGATTTAAAAAAAACGCTTTAATTTTTTCAAAAATTATATTCTTGATCGTTTGGACTTTAATAAATATGTTATCAGACAGTTTTGATGTGTATGAATGCATTTTTGTATTAATTATACTGTTCGTGATAAATTTAAGGTCATTTTAACATTTTACAAAATAGGATTTTTAATTTTTCGAGGCGGATGTGTAAATTTTACGACATTCAATGCATAATTTAACGCCGCATTAAACATGAATGTAATACTATTTATATAAATGAACGAAATGTTAATATTTGCAACTTTTACAAAAATTGAATAGTCTTCTATTAACATCAAACGGATTCCCACGCTACTTTTTAAGCTTTTTGTTTCTTATTTCTGTTTCCATTCGATTCATTCCTGACGTTTTTTAAATGGAAGATAAATGATAATTTCTTGTTTCTTGACATTTTGACAACATTGACTAATAACTTGTGTTGCACATCATTAGACAAAAGGGTAATAAAACCAAATAAATAAAATAAGCAATAGTTATATTCATTTTCGACCTCGTGCTTTAACTTTTTGTTTCTTGAAAGTTTACGGCATGTTTTCATACTTTAAACACTTAAAGATGTTAAGGCAAAGAATAATTTAAAATTTATGTACACTATGTACTTAACTTTTCAACTTTAAACTTCTACTTGCGTAGAATTTCACCGAAACTTACTTAACACATTAAAGTGCTTTGTTTTGAAAATTTTAGAGATTGTAAAAGATGTTGTATCGCTAAACGGTCGAGACAACAATTTCCGACAGGTTAATTAGAAATAATCCCCCGCGTACATATAATTGTTCGCACGAATTGTGCGCGGCATTAATTGTCACGTCACGCGTGCACGTCGCCGATTTATGTAACTTCGTTTCACTTTTTCTTCTTTGCGTTATTTCCACCGTATCACCTTTAAAAATAACTCAATTTATCTTGACTTCAAAAGCAATTCAATTGCAAATTTGGTCAAAAATTCAATTCATTGAAGGATTCGTATTCAATTCAATGTAAATTGTCTATTCCCATTCAGGATTATCGATTGCGTTTGATTATTTATTTAAATAAGAATGTAAAATGTGAAGAGGTATCGAAAAGAAGCAAGTGTGAGGCTATTGTTGTGAATACTGTGAGAAACTTTTAAATGTCAGCACATTTTAGATTGCATTGCAATACAAAGGTGTGTGAGGACAGATTATATCCAGATAGATTGATAATTTTATAAATTTTCATTCTATTTATTTTACCAATGAATTAAAAATAGAGCATCACCTTGTTTGACCATAAAATAAAATCACAATAATGAATAGCAAATAAAACTAAATCACTCATTATTGTCACTCTCAATTAGAGTATAAAATTAGCACGTGTTTTTGACATTTAAACCATGAAATCGCTATAAATTCAAATAATGGTAATTCCTGCACTTCCGGTCAATGTTGACACACACGTAGTTGAAAAGTTGAAAACGATGAACTTAACTAATGATGATAATAAATAAATTATACAATGGCTGAACAATTGACTAGTTCAAAAATGTTGAATAAGCACACAAATGTGAATATTGTCCAATGATGATGATGACACATTTGAATTGTGTTCCATTCGTCAAATTATCATGATTTTACGTGTTTTATGCGCGCGTAATTGTTGAATTTTGGTTGAATTGAGTAATTTCCTTCCGCCTAATATTAAATCACCAAACTGCTTATACATTTGTACACAGCATTGTAACGTTTTGTGAAAGCTTAAAATCTGATACATAATTTATATTTATCTCAAACCAATATTTTACAATACCGATATTTTAAACATCTTTATTCTGCAGGTTATATTTAGAAACAATAAATTTTATTTCTGCGAAAATGTGAAACCACACCTCTTTTACTCTTTAGCTTACAAATTGTATGTAGATTACGAGGTTAATTGGTGTTCTTCTCACATTTGTTGTTGTTTTTGCATCTAGCATAGAACCAATTGTTTTGTTCTTAATTGATTGTAATTATTATACAATTAGCGCCTCGTTTACTCAACTCCGAAAGTTGATTATTAGCATATACTGAATGGAACAAATTAGAAAAAATATTGACACAATGCTTAAGAGTTTGGTAATATTTCATGCAGCAAAACCGAAAATTAATAATTAACAAACGTTGAGTAATCAAAGTAAAATTTCAAAATTACTTGCGTGTAATTATCGTAATTTGAGTTTAATTTGTCTTCTTCTTAATGTATTCAATATTTTTATGTCGTGGTATGAATTTATTGCTTCAAGCACACGAATTTTTACCATTTTATTACTTCGATTACTGCTATTACTATAATATGAATAGTCACGACTTATTTCTTTATTTAAATGTTTATTCACGACTTTCAGCATTATCAATCAATAATAAAACTCCACAATAACTTGATTTTACTGCAATTTTATTATACCGCAAGACATTATAATAACTTTTAAATACTTATACTTCTAGTTGCTTGAAACAATTTTGCAACACACGTTCTAAGTTTAAGTTTTCATCGTGCACATTCAGTCCCTCGGCGTGCAGCGTGTTTGTTTCTTACGGTTTTATCTTGTTTATTAGTCGATGGTAAAATTATTGCTTTGTGATTTGGTATTTAAAAAGTTTTGCAATTGCATACAATTACGCTCGAAACCACACGCCACGTATGAAGAGAAGAATACGAAGAATGAGATTGAGAAATTTGTGCACGAAACGTTTTGCAGCGCATTGTTGGCGATTGATTAGTGATAAATCGTGATAAACATTGCATCGTGCACTCACAGCACAAGAAACAACAATATTGCGCAGTTAAATCAAACGTAACCGTGTAATTTTTGTGCGAAAACAATTTCTTCATTAACTGTTGACATATAAGTTTAGCACAAAATTTTGTATGACTGAAACATCTTTACGCTTCTTGCTTAAACTGTTCAGTTATAACATGCTGTGGTATTGTACACGTGATCAAGGAGAAAGTAATTATGCAACATTTGCCAATATGATCATTTCCACTACGCTCCAGTTTCAAAAGATATTATTTATTATATTATGTACTTACAAATTTACATGTTTATTGCGGCGTGATAGGCGTGACAATGCAATTAATTTTTAATTATTGTTTAACTGATATCACTAAATTAAATTTTTGCTCGAATTCGCACAATTTTTACACGTTTTTAATGCATTTTTGTGTTCCAGTTTCCTTAAAACTATGTCCACGACGTTTGTTTGATGTCCCAGACGAGACCACCACATAGCCAACACTAGAACTAGATTGGATTTTTACCTGAGACTTTTTTTCACGTCTCGCGATCGTCTTAACTCGCCACCATCGCGTTACGAACTGCAACGAGCCACGAAATAATTTTATGACCGCCGTACCGTCACGTAATATACCTGTTTAAAAATTAATCAATGCATATGATTAACTGGATTTTTAATTACAGAAATTTTCGTCTCACCAAAATGCATTTTGGATCGTTTGCTTTCTTCTTCTGTTCGTTTTTAATTAACTTGAACCGTTTCAATGTTCGTGCCGAAGTTTTCACCGCTTTGGCCGAACTTGAAGAACTCCTACAGACCGAATCAGTGCTCATCAACGCTTTAGAGAGCTTTATTCAAACTCACGAACAAAAACTGGCTATACTCCGGCGATATGCAGAAGCATATCAAAACCAGCACGATATTGCTGCAGCTGATGTCCAAGTTTACGTCTCTAATCCCATCAACGCATATCTTCTGGTGAAGAGATTAACTACTGACTGGAAAGAAGTCCAAACTTTAATTGAAACAAACGCAGGAGCAGGTAAAATGAGTAATACATTAATTTAAACTTAGTATAATTTAAATTTTGATATTTTGCAGAGGTACTACATAATTTAACAACATACAGGCAGCATTTAAAGTTCCCAACGGATGAAGACTTGAATGGAGCTGCTGTAGCGTTGACGCGCCTGCAGGACACATACAAATTGGACACGTCCTCTTTGGCACGCGGTGAATTAAACGGAGTAAAGTACTCCACGGAATTAAACGCGGCGGATTGCTTTGAATTGGGGAGACAATCCTATAACAATGAAGATTATTATCATACCCAGTTGTGGATGCGTGAAGCCGATGTACGGCTGGGACGCGAAGTCAACGAAACAGTTCACAGAAGTGATATTTTAGAATATTTGGCTTTTAGTACTTTTAAACAAGGTAAAATAAATCCAAAATCATTTGCTATTATTAATATCTAATAATTATTGATTTATATTGATAGGAAACGTGCATTTGGCGTTGGACCTTACAAATAAACTCTTGGAATTGGTCCCGACTCATCCCAGAGCGACGGGTAACAAAGTTTACTATGAAAATTCAATTGAGAAGACTAATCTCGAGCAACGAAAAGGTGATGATGGCACAGACCAGGTTGCTGAGGTTATCACCCATCCAGTAAGCATTAAAAAAGTATTGCATACTTTTTGATAGAATATTATGATATGTATTGGATAAAATTAGCTTAACAATTTAATTCCAAGGCTCCTCTTCATCCTGATCCCCATCGCCACTTGTACGAACAATTATGTCGTGGCGAAGAAATGTTGGAATCTCACCTGGCTGCTGAGCTGAAATGTTTTTACTATAAACCGAAACACAATAAATTCCTGCAATTGGCACCGTTTAAAGTGGAAGAAGCTTACAAATCGCCTCGTATTTTGATTTTCTACGATGTCATGTCCGATAGTGAGATTGCGTTGATCAAGAGGATGGCTCAACCCAGAGTAAGTCTTTTATTTGTGTATTTATTTATTTGAGTATAATGTGCTTCTTTGTAGTTTAAACGTGCAACCGTACAAAACTCACAAACGGGAGAACTTGAAACCGCTCAATATCGTATTAGTAAGTCCGCATGGTTGAAGGATAACGAACATAAGCACATTGCTACTGTTAGCCGAAGGGTTCAGGATATGACAGGTCTTACAATGAAGAGTGCTGAGGAGTTACAAGTGGTGAATTATGGAATTGGTGGACATTATGAACCACATTATGATTTTGCCAGGGTAAGTTGTCTTTATGGGAACAACAATCATTATTAATTTATGATTAATCATATGCTTTCTTTGCAGAAAGAAGAAACAAATGCATTTAAAAGCCTAGGAACAGGAAATCGTATTGCAACTGTTCTTTTCTATGTAAGTATATTATATCTAACATATTATTGAGATCATATGTATTTTTATTGAATTAACAATAGTTTTACGAGAGGGTGAATATTAATACATATAAATCAAAGAAAACGCTTTAACACTCACAAGTTATCGTTGTTAAACGATACCATATTCGTAAAACCATTGCAAATCAATGCAAGTGTTTGTCCAACCCTATGGATAACTACTCGTATTTCGCCCATTCTGTAAGTATTTTAATATTTGTTTGATAGATGAGTGATGTACCTCAAGGTGGAGCAACAGTTTTCCCCAATATTAAAGTAGCGCTCTGGCCTACGAAAGGTGCGGCTGCCTTTTGGTTTAACTTACATCCTGATGGAGAGGGCGATAAAAGGACGAGACATGCAGCTTGTCCTGTTCTGGCAGGCTCCAAATGGGGTAAGTTTCGAAAATATTCGCATTTGTTTTACTTACAGAACACGTTTTGTGTTGTAGTTTCGAATAAATGGATCCACGAACGCGAGCAAGAATTCCGACGACCTTGTGACTTAATACAAACCCCATCTGACCTAACGGCGTAGCATAATTAGCAACAATTATTTTATTTTTATCAACAACTTCATAAAATCAACACATGCTTTTTATTTTGTTTTGGTCGACATCTTTTTCTTATATCATCATTTGAGTTTTTTTGTAATATACGAAATTATACCAAAAATTTTAAACCAAGCCAGTCATATTGTAAATTTTATTGATAGAGAGTGATAACAAGTACACTAAATGATCCTATTATTGATAATATAATTTTATATTTACAATTTTTATAAACAGATTTAGTAATATGTACTGTATTGAGTAATCAATATTCTGTAAAATGTTTTGTGTTTAAATATAATATATAAAGTTTAACAATATTAAGTTAATTAATATAAATGTTTGTTACCTGATGGGGAGAGAAATACATAATTTCCTCACCCCCCAAAGGACTACTGGCAGTGCCCTAAAGTACATATCAAAATTAGCGTTGTTTCAAACATTTGCAAAAATGCCGTCGGAAACACCCAGTTACCATTAACTAATTGACTTTGTTGAAGTATGTATCTTACAAATATCTTAAGGTTCAAGAGTCGCCCAACACAACGCATATCTTTTCAATCTTCTCACTCTTCTGGAAATCCCTAAAATGCTCCTTGAAAATTTGCATTTTTCAAGAAAATTGAAAACATGGTGTGAAAAACACCCTGTATCTCGTGAACTAATTGACTTCTTAAGAATTTGTCGCCGCCATGTTATAGCTCGTGAGTCCCTCTATACCAGTGGTTCCTAACCTGGGGGTAATTACCCCCGCAGGGGTAAAACGGGGATTCTAGGGCGGTAACACGGGATGGCACGAAATAGTATTAAAATAGTAATAAACAAAATAATACTACGGTAAACGGTAGCACAGCTATTTATATATTATATAAATTTTTATATTTTCGTCCGAATTTATGTGGTAATAATTATTTTAAAATAGCTAGGGGTAAACTCAATTCCCACATGGGTAGTGACCTTGAAAAGGTTAGGAACCACTGCTCTATACGATGCATACCTTTTCAACCTTCTAGCCCTTCCGGAAGTGCCCTAAAACGCCCTCTAAAGATTGGCATTTTTGAAAAAAATTGAAAACATGGTATGAAAAACACCCTGTATCCCGTGAACTAATTGATTTTCTAGGAGTTTCTTACCGCCATGTTAAAGTTCGAGAGTTTCTCTATACGATGCATACATTGTATACTTTTTTCTTAATTTTTTGTTGAAACATTTAATTAAAATAAAAATAAAAATTAAGAAGTATTTTATTTAATTATACAATTTAAACAACTTTTTACCTAACAGCAGCAAGGATATTTCCGGTAAATCTCATTAAGTGAAATGTGCACTTGCATCGAGACTTAAAAGTCAATTATCTCAGGAACTAATAGAGATATACAAAAACCAAAAACACCCAGATGTTCAGCATCAAATCCTAGATAAGATAACATTTAAAAAAACAGAAATATAACATGTGCCTAAAAAATTTTCCGCCGTGATTTTCTCAGAAAGTTATAAAGTTAGAAAAGAACTTTCTTCATTTTGTTCATGCCGTGGTAAGGATCTATAAAATGGCAGATTTAGTTTTTCCATTTTCCAAAGTTGACCAAAGACCACTCAAAAACATCAAGAGGTTTTACACTTGACTCTTTTTGGACTCAAAAAAATTTTTTTAGGCTAGAAGAAATTGGAAAACGCTAATCGATTGAGTTTTCCAAGGGGATGAAAGATATCAAGTCAGTTTTCCGATAACATCATTATTTTGGAAATTGGTGCTAAATTCAAAACTGATCAAATAAAACCACTTCTCCGAATTTCCCCAAACTTTCCCAATTGAAGTAAGACATTGCCAGGATTCCACTAATCCAGGTTTAGTTGCCCTATCTTAATTTGTTTTCAAGTTATTAATCATTTTTAATTATTACATAAGTGTTGATAAGTGACAATTTTAACATGTAATATAATATGAAATTTATGTATATATACGAATATGTAAACCGTTTTTCTCTATCAATAATGGTTGTCAATTTTTAAATGGAATTTAAGGGCAGTTTTAAAAGGGGCAGAAGATTGAAAAATTTTGTGTTGTGTAGAGGTGTTCTAGAGCTTTAACATGGGTATAAAAAATCAAAATAAAAACAATTACTTCAGATGATACAGAGTGCTTTCCATACTATGTTTTCATATTTTGTGAAAAATGTAAATTTTTAAAGGGCATTTACAAGGAATAAGAAGATCTAAAACAGTTAATTAGTTCAAAAGGTACTGGGTGTTTTCCATACCATATTTACATACTCAGAGCATATTCAGAAGGGCTAGGGGGTTGCAAATGTATGCATCATGTAAGAGAACTCTCTAACTCAAACATGTCGGTGAGAAACTGTAAAAAAGACTATTAGTTCGCGAGATATAGCGTGTTCTTTTGCAAACCACAACCAAAACGAAATTTTCCAGTAGTACGATAAATCTCTGGCAAAAGCAACGTGCCGAAACCAGGGATTGAACCATAGGCCTTTTCATCTTCAGTCTAACGCACTCTCAACTGAGCTACTTGGGCTTACTGACAAGTGATTGCTGCAATTGTACTACACAAATCATTGTTTTCAAACAAATAAGAAATTTCTAATTCTAAACTACATTTTAAATAAAAGACACTCAAATTATTTTGGAGTGATATAGGATGGCAGAACGGTACAGTATGCTTGTAAATTTTTGAAAAATGCCAATTTTAAAAGTCATTCTAGGGCACTTCCAAGGGATTTAGAGGGTTTAATCCATCTATAAACAGAATAACAGAATTTTTATAGTTTCTGTCATTCAATACTTTCACTCACACATCACAACATGCACGATTGAATAATCAAATAGTCGAATTAAAATAATACTTTTAAGGTCATTCCGAGATGTCGCTAGGATGTCCTCTTTGACTAAAAATATTCCAGCGAGTTTACCACATCGTTCTTGTAATGTTATGTAAACACTGGCTATCGCAGTTGCGGATTTTATCATTTCACGCTTGTAATGTCACGTGAATCAATTTACAATAACAAAAGTAAAGAATATGTGAATGAATTTACTATTTTATCATAAATTAATTCATTATATTATGTGATTTGCGCTCTGTCACTATCCCAATAGTAATCGAAAAAACAAGATCAAGCATTTTTTGTTTATGATTTATGTTCGATCCGATTTATTTTTCCGATTTGAATATCGTTTCAACAGAATTTCATCGACTTTCAATCAGAAAAGACCTTTAAAAAAGTCCAATAAACTAACAAAACTTTAAATAAGTTAATTTGTTCAGGAGACACAGTGTTTTCAACACTTTAAAAGTCGATGGAAAAAGTATACAGGTTGCAAAGGGTTTCTTAAAATATATATTACCTATTAGTAGCACTGCTACTAGAAAAATTCGTTTTCCATCCGGTGACCACTCAGCAATTACTTGAATCCCTTCCTGTATAGACATGTTGTCGATTATCCTGCATAATTTACGAGCTCTAAATAATCCATTGTATTATGAGCATGATTCGAGATAAGTGGGTGACAAACGCATCGACCGCCTCCGAAATACGCGAAGCATGGCGATGATTCTTTTGTCGTCGCGCGAGTGCCACTCGAAAAGGGCCTACAATCGCAAAAAAAAAACACACGTATACACACTCACAGCAGCACCCGCTTACGGCGGCCCCCGGCTTTAGCTTCCGTCCTCTGCGCGCCGCCCCTCAAATGCCGTCGCTGTCGAGTTGTCGCCATCGGAGCGCCAACTCTAAAGCGTAATTGGTATAAAATCTTTATACAAACATATCAGATGGATGAAGTGTACGTAAAATGAGCGAGGGCGTGCCGTCGCCCTGGAAACGTCGACTGCCGCCCGCCACGTGGCCGCGTTCGCCTCACGCCGCCGCCCCCACTTCTTCCGCCACGCACCCTTTAACTATTAAAATCCAGTTCGATATTTTTGTTGTTTCAATGTGCACATCTGGAAAGGCTCAAGCATTCTATTTTCCACCCAACTATTTATCAGTAATATAAATATAGCTGTAACAAAGATATTCGAAAACATGTGTTGCAGATGGACTTTCCCTGCAATTTTAGGTATTTACATACATCCAATTTGAAGGTGTCCAGATACGGGTATTAAACGTGTAACAATAACATCACGCCGACTGTAGCGCAACATCTGTCAGAGGGTGGTAAACTGAAGGAAATCCCAAGATATGCTTTTGCGCGCAAGATGTTTCTGCCACGTGAAATCCCATCTTTGAATTATACCTCCCCGATAAGTAGCCACAAATCGCCGGGCGCGTTTATGAGCTTAACTTATTTTACTGGCGAAAAATCCCACTTTACAACGCTCAACTTGTAAACAAAGTTTCCAATAAACTACTGTATTCGCATTTAATCGAAATACATTACAATAAATCTAAAAAAAAAAATATATATTTTTAATAATTCATAGAGATACTCGTAATTAAAATGTGTTTAATTTATCCTAAACACCCTTTGCAAATAATTAGACAACAAACCAAAGTGTGCCACCCATCAGGGGGTACGTTTAATGAGAGTGTGACTTCTAACAATTCATAATAGTTGAAGTTAAACGAAACCAAAAGCCCGAATTCATTTAACATCAAATTATTGAAATATAGACCCTGCTTTGGCATCAACCCCTCCTGAAACAAACGCACCCTCCCGAATCTCGCCCCAATTTGCACCCAGAGGAACAATTGCATCGAGAAACTTGCACGGCAGTTAACTAAACGTGTAAACTAAGCTGATTATCACGAATGGAAGTGTACATAGCGGTATTTCTATTTTAATCATTTAATCATCGTAATTAATTAGATTTTTTTGAGAGTATTTACATGCTTTACATAGTTCATATATAATATTTTAAATAGTGGTCATACATCTTATGCTATCACTTAGTTTATCTAAATTCACAGTCTCAAATTATTGTCGCATCTACGTTAACAATTAATTTCATTACTGTTTCGCATTCTGTGCACAGAATCCACCTCGCAATAAATTAAATCAAACGGCAATTGTTTGCATATTTATATATGGCACCGGTATTATCGGGTTTTGAAACAACAAATTAATATAAAAATATATAAAATGGCATTTACAGTTAGAAATACTTTTAGAAAATATTCAAATACACGTCAAATAAAATATGTACAAAATTTGGAATTTCCTCCTCAACTGGCTCTCAACATTCCTATGCAAATTTATTGCGGGAAATTACCCAAAAATATAAAATCTAAAGGTATAATAAATATTCTCTTGCAAATCCTCATCCGCCTCAAAGGTTGATATGATATACATAATACTTTACAATACGTTTCACGTGTTGGCGGCCATTTTGGATTAATGTACATACCCATTCGGTGGGAGATACTGCGCTGGTTCAACGATGACACTCGTATAAGCAGATGTACCTTGTACAGTACCATGATGATGTTTAAAGTCATGCGTATACAAATGTTCATCCAGATTACCCCCACTCGCCTGATTATTATTAAAAGAGTTTACGTTGTTGATATTGTTAAAGGGTGGCTGCTGTTGGTGCGGATGAGGTTGTTGATGATGATGGTGATTATGCATATTATCCTGTTGGCAATACGGATTAATAAAGTGCTCCTGAAGATGGTGTTCGCTCTCTGGACTACTGCAACTGTTCGAGGAAGCACTGTAGGGTCTATTCTGTAGACTGGCACTTTGTGGATGCATTTGCCCTTGCTGTGCCTGTTGATGATGACCAAGTTGATCATGCTCTGCGTAAGTGTAGTACATATCCTGTTGCGGATAGAAAGATTCTTCAGTGTAATTCGTGAGGAAAGAAAACTCCGATTGTGGATAAACCATGTTTGCTGTTGTTGCACCATTGGAGTCACTGAAATCATCGTCTGGTAGTGATGAATTCGGCGGGGTGATAATAGCTGGATGAACAGGAGGTGGTCGAAACTTGGGTGTTGAAGAGTTTCGTACTGTGGATGACTGCATCGGAGATCCGGCATGTGGGGAATGCGAGTGTGAAGATGAGATTTCATCTTTGAATGTGTCCTGGCTCATCGCAAAGGAGTGCTCATCTTTGAACGTGCAGGGTTGGGATGATTTCAACGCGAAGTTTTTGTTGTCCAAAGACGTGTCAAGCTTTGTGTATAACGATGAATGTTCTTCTTTAAACCCGCATGGAGATTGTTTCAGCGCGAAATCTTTCGTGTCATTACTGTAGTCCACCTTGATGGATCCTTGTGATTGATTTAAGACCAAATCTTTCGCTTCCCAATCACTAAATTTAGATTAATTTAAGAATATGGTTATTAGAGATCGACTTTTTTAAATTTTGTTTGTTTGTATCGTGATAATTTACCTTAGGACATAGTTAACTGAAACGATGCAATGCGGGCGTGAAGATCGGGAATTGTGAACGATTGTAGCATAGCTTTGCATCCAGACCCAGCCGCCGCCTTTACACATGAATCGATAATATTTCGACGTCACTTGGCCCTTCAGCAACACTGTAAAACAAATCAGACACCTATTCAAATTCACTGTTTGTACTCAACTCGAAGGTGAAACCAGTATCCGCGTATCGGTTTTCAGTTCTTTTTTGTTTTGTTTTAGTAATAAGAGTGTTCATATAGCTCGTCGCAGTTTGCAGTACATTATCCCTTATCCATGTTTGCGCAGCTATGTTTGCTCTCGCGCTTTTCCTCATCGCACATCACGCCCATCAAAAAGCAACTTCAACGCTTTGGCAAGTAAAATACGAAAGCCACAACTTTCGAACCTTGGCGCGGCGCTGAGGATGACGAACAGCCATCATAAACAATCAACACCAACACGAATTTAATCATCTCGCACTCAAACACTCAAAGCCAACAAATTAAAACTTGATGATAAACTTCACGCCTTTCAGATTTATACGACGAAAAAAACCTGATACAATTTTCTACTTACATTGATGATGTGAGAAACGCATCGAAAATATATCCGTGGCATGAATGTAGTGATAGAGTGTCTTCTCGATGAGATCCTGTGGTTCGTATCCAGTGAGCTGTGCCACCCTGCAACACACAACAAACACAATTAAGAACACCCTCAACCATCATGTAATTTTACGCTCATGGGAAGCGCCGCACTGGTGCATATCAAACAAAAAACACAAGTGGTGTAAAAATCGTCTCACCTAGCGTCGAGAAAAATCAGTTTCAGGTCCAAACTGGCGCGGAACATGAACATATTCGTGTGTAGTTTGATTTCGGTGATGGCGCTCAAAGGCAACGAGTGTCCGACGGCAACCAATCCCAAATTTGAATATGTATTCTCATATTGCGGCAAATGCGACGTGTACTGCTTTATCTTCAGATAACCAGAGAAGTGTATCACCTGAAGTTGAAAAATTATAAGAAAAAGGTTTAAAAACTAGTAGAAAACGAATGTAAATGAGATCCTGTATGCGCATATGTCACGCCAGTGATTAATTCCACCTTTTCTTTCTCTTTCATCTTTTGTAGTTTGTGTGGTGTGTATTGAGCTCGTACGACGATTTTATTAGGCGTAACTCTAGCTCGCTGGAGCGAGAGCATGAAAATTCATGGAGCGCGAGCATGTAGGTACATAATAAACTCAAGTCGCTGGTTGGTTGGTTAATGAATTAATAGTCACTTATGTGCATTAAAATGCACGCCTTTCGCGAGTTAATCAGGCAAACAAAGCACCGCGGAGCATACACCACACGTGTATGTTTTGTTTGTGTGTGTGTGCGTGTGTTGACTGTTGACTTGAGAAGATTTATTTGCATTTGCGTTTGACTTTGCAGGCGTGCGCGTGGTTTAATTGATGTTAATGGTGTTAATTAAAACAGTAGGTATGCCTATTAGTTGGATCATAAAAAGATTAAAGGCACCGCAAATTCCACCACAACATTTCAAATAATATATTGCCATTAATGCAAGCATATTTATTGAAATTTAAACACAAAAATTTTAAAAAACGCAAAAAATATTTTTTGAATTTCCATGAAGTGTGTTTTAAAATAATTAGAAACAATACCCATACGACAGTTGTTTTGAACGTGCATCATATGCCGTTCCATTGCATTTGTTTCACAATCGAAGCATAAACGACCATTGAAGCACGTTGAAAGCCTGAAATTGTTGGTGGTTGCATTGTGGTAGAATCGGGCGCGTTGTCGCGCATAAATTTCACGTATTACGTATTACATATACTCAGTGTGCGCAAACCCCGCGTCGCGAACATGCAACACCTGGCGGGGACGATGGCGCGAACGAGAGAGCGATCCCCGGTTTGTTGATTGCGCGAAAAACCTTGACTTGCTCACGTACTTTTCCTATTATCCCGATTATCGCTTTTCTATGCCCGCACACCGGACGAAATCGTAATTACAATCACCATCAAGTAATACACAAGTAGCGTGTCTAATGTAAACAAATATGCAAATGAATTTAGCAGAAAACTTACTTTGAAACCGCCGTTGGTGAGTCCAGCATTGCGTTTCGCCAACACACATTTCATACGTAGAAAAAAAGCGCGCTCGGATTCGTAGTCCTGTTGTTCTGGGGATCCTGGAGGGAGAGGATTCAATACAGCCGATGATGGTGTGAGGACAGCTTGCATTTCATCATGATCCGCGGGATGGATGTATTCAAAAATACTATTACCAGTTAGATCCACCTTAAGACACACAAAACAAAAGATAAATAATTATGAAATTATTTTATTTTATTTTTGATGACTTACCTGTGGTAAACCTAAATGTACACTCACAGTCTCAGATATGTACATGATTTTCCCATCGGGAGCGACGACGAAAATGAATCCATCCATAGTTTGCAGTAGATGATAAGCCAACTCTTTTATAATATTTCCGCGGGGATTAACAACTGGCGGAGAAGATCCCCAGGCATTTCCCAAACCTAAATATTATAAAATTGTTTAATTAACGTGTTAAATTTTAATTTTTTTTCTTATTTCTTACCATCTGGAAAAACTTGGCGCATTTTCAGATAGGATGTGGTTAATCGTATCACTGATGCTTTGTCTAGTTGTGCTGTGGTGGCGGCCGGAAGTGGTAATAGTTTCGCCAACTCCAGAAACTCGGCGTTTTCCTTCTCGCGTCGCGAACGCGCCGCATTCTTGCTTTTTTCCTTCATCGCGTGTTGGTTTATTTGCGCCGCGATGGATACCACTGTAAGCAAAAATAAAAAACAAAATTAAAATAATTGCGGATGAAGATGAAAATTCTCAAGATGACACTTTATATATTTAAATTTATGCGCTCTTGACATCGCCGTCAAAATGGCGACCAAAGTCAAGCATCTGAAGCACCCCTTTTCTCATTCGATGAATAAATTTATTTTTAGCGAAGGATTCAAGTGGTACTTTTTGGTTTTAGAATTTGCTTGTTAAAATTGTTGAATTTAATGATGTACTTCATTAGTAGTCAACATACTTTTGTTGTGAATGTGTTTTCCACCCCGGGAAGATGGATATTTCATAGTTTATAATCACAAAAAAACACAACACGATTCACAACTTGCACGTTTTTGGAAATTCCGTCACCTGTTCGCCACCTTGTCGCGTTTACGTCTGACTGGCCACAGCAGACACCTTAACGTATTTATTTACAGCATTTGGGGGTGTGTTGCACCTTCACTTCACCATCAACCACCTTACACTACGTCTCATAGAAGGAAACAAGTGCTACAATCGCCAAAATAAAATATTCAACAATATTCAACAGTTTTGCAATACAAATTGATTTCATTTACCTGTTTGGTTGCTTGTAGGAATAAGGTGGGACCAAAATCGTGTGCACACACCTGGTTGGAAATTTCGAACGTGAGGGTTGATTTGCACCCTCCAACTATATTTTTAAACACGCCCCAAAAAATCTCTCTCTACTACTGGGTAGGTGTAAATAAATAAAGTATTATTTTTTGTTCACGGAAATAAATTTTAATTAAACCGATATGCGATGAACCGATATGATGTAGGTGAAGATAGGGCATTGTTTACCGATTCGATGCACCACTCAACGCGTTGCAAAGTTTTCGCGGAAAACTTTTCGCACGCGGTGCAAATTACAAGTTCGCATGTTACGCGTCGTAAATTCAAGCTGCGAATGTGTTCAAAGAACTTACACTTGTTCTTCAACTTAAACTTGTACTTGTGTACTGGATATATATTAATATCATGTTTAAAAATCAATTGCGCCCGCCCGGAAAATCCAAACATTTGGTATCGATTAGTAGGTGTCGTAAATCGGTAGAAATTTGAATTTTATCATTGCCAGATGAGAGCAAGATGTTCGGGCGGTTCCCACACTTGCCAAAAACATCCAGCAGGTTTATTGCACCTGATTATTGTCGGGGCAATGACAATAAATCGTAAAATGCGCCATAACACAACAAGTGATTCAAGTGATTGAAGTTTTCGACCTGAACGTGGGAAGTGCACATAGAAATATAGAAATATTAAACAAAGTTATATTTTGTAACATTTAAATTGTTGTTTAAAATATGAAATTGGTTCGTTAGTGATTACTTTGTAATAATTCGTGCTTTTGCTGCTTATTTCCTTAAACTCGTTAGGTTTTACGCGCAATTTATTCCAGCGATAATAAATTATTACAAAACGTGTTAAAAACTAACATTTTAAACGATTTAAATGATTCAAAAATAATGTCGAAGTTGTGTGTTAACTCAATTATTATTTTTCTAAAATCTGCAAAATTTTGTATGTTGATTTTTCATCAATATGAGCAGTAAAAATCAATATTTACACGTATTTATTTTGGTAACTTTTTCGAACTATACGTATAAATTTCAACCATCAAAATAAACAAAACTCCTCGCACCAACCCGCTCTCTCTGTGTTTACGAGACTCGGGAAGTGACAACGAAAGTTCCAAGTCAAACCTTTGCTCAAAATCATAATCCACATTATTTATGCGTGAACGCGCGTGCCCTTATCCAACTTGTGTGCCCTGTGCGACTTCCCACACTCTGTGCTTCCTCCGTTTCGGTTTCCAACGATGCTCCTCCACCGATGAATTGAAATCGACAAAAAAAAGTTCATCATCATCCGACGGACGAAAGCGCACGTTTTGGCATTTGCTCGCGAACGACTTTTATTATAATTACACGTTCAGTGAACGCTTGTTTGTAAGTGCACGTTGCTCAATTGGTAACTCATTGAGGGATTCACGTACCGATTTATGACACCGACACCGTACGCGTCCTTCACGAGTATCCCTCGGCGTGAGGAAGGAAGTAAGCGTGGGTAAAATAGGCATAGAATGGAGCTTTGAGCTTTCGGAAGCTCGCCAGTTCGTGATGTTCGCTTGTAGTTGCAATTTTCTCACGTTTATTGCACTTTTGCTTTCGAAGTGACACCGCATAGCGTGAGAATGAAATATTTTGTAAATAAATAAATTATAAACTTGTAAAACGAAATATTAATTAATCAGACATTTGCAAAGCAAAAAGAGTTGATAAATATAAAATTAATTCGTCGTAATTCTTGCTTTTGTAGCGATAAAACAAAGATTGTAAAATAATACAGCAGCCAGGCAAGAATCCCAGGAAATTATAGAAAACTTAATTCGATATTTTTCTCTCGGGTGGTGTTGATGAACCCAAAGCTACGAGATGGAATTTTGTCGTTCTAAGCTTTATTACAACATTAAAGACATTAACAGTAACGGCACGATTTCACGATTTACGAGCGTGTTTTTTCAACAAAGCAATAACTCTCCTCAAATCAAATCAAACAATACGTTAAAATTTTACGAATTGTTGAATGACAAATTTTTGAAATGCAAGAGAAAAGTGTGTGTATGTGTGTTTATTGTACGTTTATTAGTGTTAACTCAAGTGCAGACTTCTCGAATGCTCTTTTGTTATTCGTGTTCGCCGTTCGATTAATTGTTTTGACAATTAATCAAGCGCTGGAACAAAGTGCGCGATTTGTGCTTAATCAGCGATTGTTTCGCGCATTTTTCTACACCCAATCCGGGCACAATTAGAAAGTAAACAATGAATCATTACGTGTTGAAAACCATAACAATTAGTGATTAATTTGATCATCGATGATCTAAATTCTTCTCGAATGAAGTGGTAAAATTTTTTAAATAAAAATTGACGTCAGCAGGTGAATTTAAGCATTGAAACGCGTTGTTTACGTTAAGTTTTTGAAATTAAAGGAATTTATCATTAAAATCGAATTTTAAAACATAAATTTACGATTCTTTCCCGTAAAATTCAAGTAATAAAATAATTAATTCTATAATTACTCAGAAAAATTGTTATCTGCACAATTTCTAAACAATTAAAACCAGAATTCGATGTAAAAACGACAAAAATACAAAAAAAATGAAAAATGATTTGATACACTTGTTAAAACAAGACTTTTTGAGCTGCTTAAAGTGTTAAATGATTACCTTGTGACATGATATCCTCCTCCAACATGGCGTCCGTGAACAGAGTCATTCGTACGGCGCAGAGTTTGTAGTAAAACACAAGAAAACACGCGAAATCAAGGCGTGGTATCTAACACCCACGCAAAACCGTCCAAGAAATCACACAGCAAACAACCGCACTTAAAATTGTGGACTATATAATTTATAAAGTACAATTCGTTGAGTGGCTTGAACCCTGAGAAAATATTACGACGCACGTGCGAGGAACGCGACGGCTCCGCGTAATATATGAGTAATGAGCACATGAGCGCGTTTTGTGACGGTTTTGAGTCGCCGTCGCCGCCAGAGTGTCACAAGTCTCGAATCTCGCAACCGGCGAAGAAATAATAACAATGTACTATTTATATAATATCTTTAACAGCATTGTAACGGCATAGTAGTGGGTGGAGCAAATCTTGTTTAATTCTCGAAACGTAAATAATTTCAAGCTTTTTGTTTTTTATTGTTTACAAACAGTCGGCGTTTAGTGCAATGACTAATTGGCAAAAGTTGAAAGTGCAATGAACGGTTAAGTTCATTGTGTTTGTGTGAACCAATATTGGTCAATCGGTCATATGCAATTCCAACCTCAAGTTCATGACCCAAACACTCGAAAATGTATTACTACTAAGTGCTAATCAATTATCACTACAATTATCACGTAAAAATGTGTTTTTCTCGCGTTTTGTTATTTTAAAGGTTTAGTTTTTAAATAATATGATAAGTGTATTGACGAAAATTCAAAAATAACAAAAGTAATAAGCCTGAGTGCCCTCGACGAGGAGAATTTGAATGCGCCCTTTGTTTCTGCGCGTTTGTGCAACGCACGCACGTCCAGAACGCATGCACGCCCTCTCCTAGTGTTATTTCTTTTTTGGGGTGATGTACGACTCAATGTTGGTCGTGTTAATCCCGGATATACCAGCACTTAAGGGCTTTAACGCACACGCTGCCTGCAAGTGGGAGCTATCGGTTAGGATTTACAAATTGAATAACAAGATTTTCTATCCACTTGGACTTAAAACTGTTTAAAACGTGTTTTAAAATGTAAAAAATTAAAACAAAAAAGAATATAAATTTAAACTGGTTTTTCTGTAACATAAATTTTACTTTTTTGGGTGAAGGAAAGAAAGACACTTGAAATATTATATTATGTGATTGTTTGTAATTCCATCACGCCTAGTTTGCTTTTAGTGTCTTGAGCGCTTCATATTTCATCCCCGCGCGCGACATTTTCGGCGTTTCCATATTCCATGCAAATCTCCGCGTCGCGCAAATACTGAAATATGTGCGCTTTGTCTGCTCAAACAGCGAGGGTGCGCGCGTGGATTACGCCGAATGGAAAGACGACAACGAGCGTCGTCCACTTGTTTCACTGTTACATTTGTTGAATGCGTGCGAACGCGTAAATCCGTTCGGCAAACTTTGGAATAATGTGCTCTCCATCGGGTCGGCATTAAACAAAAGTGCATTAAACTGATTTGCACGATCGAAGGAACATTGAATGAACTATGTTGCACATGTTGTAATTTATAATTGTAACCATTATGACCGTGATAAAAGTGGCTACGTGCAGCGCGCCAATGACCACTAAAAATAACAATGCAATGTGTTTAGTGTCGAACGTTTATATTTAACAAACAAATTATTATTTATAAATAAATTAAACTCAAATATTTTTTAAATAAAAATTTATCCTTTTTTTTCTTAAATTTTATTTTTTATTGGCGAACCAGATTAATATGTAAGTTCTAAGAATTTGCCAGACCCCGAAGATATCCACAGACTTTTGTCTGGTTGACCCATGCGTATAATGCACAAAATACAAAGAGGCATAGAAGGTCTTTACAGCGGCGTGTGATATCCGATGTGTTTTATAATCAACGTAACGAAATGTGTCGCAAGTCGTACACGCTGGTCGCGCGAGGCTGAACTTAGAAACACATCGCCACATCAGTAAACTCTGAAGAATTCTTTCTGTCGCCGACTCCATCATCAACACCGACGCGAAATCGATTTCGCGGCGTGCATTTTTCGTCATTCCGCGCACAACTTGAGCGTGTGCAGCACAAAAAGCAAAACACAAAAACTCACAACACTTCACAAGTAAAATTATGCAACGATAAATATAACAATTAAAACTTGTCGTGTCAAATCTTTTATCCCGTAGACAAAACAAAACATATCCGAATCGATTTTTACACCCACAAGTGCCCCTTTTTTACTCATGTTGTGCTTCCAACTAAAGCTCAAGTATAAAAATCTCGTCGCATTTCTTTGTTTATGTTTTACGTTTTTTTTTTCTTGCTTGTGTTTTACGACTGTGCGCGCACTCTGCGTCTCATTTTTCGCCGGAGAGCTTTAACATTCTCTTTAACAAGAAACAACTCGGTAGTCTTTCCTCCAAACCACAAACTAAATCAGTCGATGGCGCGCGCACGGTTCATAACTCTCTTTTGTCATGCGACTCCGACGCACATAAAGAATATCAGGCTTTCATTCATAAACTTTTGCCAATATCGCGAGACTGTAACACACATAGCATAACCTTAAACATAAACCTATTTATATAAAACCTTGAAGGTATGCAACCAAATAAACGTGATTTTCGTACCAGTTTGCTACCTATCCTAACAAAAGCCCCGGGAGTCGTCCCTCCTAAATATAAAAACGATGTATTTAACAAAAAAAAAGGACGTGCTCACTGAAACCCGCCGAAAACGGCATTCTGTCACGCACGCGATCATTAGCACCCTTAAAAGTTGCACCCTCCATCGACAAACGCACGCACTTTGACGTCACTGCTGAGACACGTGATCTATTCATCTTTGATCATGGTTAGATGCACGTTGTTAATTTTTTCCGTTTGACAAGCAGAATAAACCTCCACAAAAACAATTTCTTGATTTAAAAACATCTAGGTATAGGTAGAATTTGAAATAAGTGGGAGGGTATGTGAAAAAAGCTCTGAAAAGCATTAAAACCAAAACGCAAAACAAAGCGGCTATTAAATTTGCCCGCCGGCGCGATGCAGACGCTCAATTCATTCATGTGCCAGTGACGCGCAAATAATGAGGACGCGTGTCGTCCTTTTGTCCTTTGCGCCACGCTCAAGGGGCTGCAAACTGACTTGAAACGACTTCTAATATGATTTCGCACGAAAAACACTCCGGTGTGCACAGTTGGTTGCATAGCTTATTGAGGTACCTACTAAACGGAGGTTATGTTATTTTACTGGGTGGCATTTCTAATAAAAACGAACGTATTAGTGTACATGGATTGTTTGCCACCGCGGTCACTTTGTTCTCATCAAATGACAAAATGGTACATTACATTTGCGATTTTCCGCCCGATTCAAATTACATTCATTTGGTACCAAACATTAATTCGACACATTTACGCTTCGATCCCTGTTGTAGCTTCTAGAACAATAGAATTACGCATTGAGTACTTACACATTATGTATTTACGCAACTTAGCCAACATGCGACGAACAAATTAAGAACATATGTACACAAAATTACGTTTTTTTTTGCAACTTTTGATTTGCGTTAAATTTGCTTGGAACAATTTTCTCGAAAAAATAAAAATTTAAAATCATGAATTATTGGTTAATAACACGGTTTGTGGCGTGAAGTGAAGTGAAAAAGTAACTAAACGCGTCCACTCCGTCGTATTCAATAATAAAAAATGTTTTTTATTGCGCCGAGGCGGGCTGGAGCCCTTCGTCTTGTTCAAATATAATAAGAAATTACCCGATACCCTTCGTTCCGGACCCGACGACTAAAATACTCGAAACATGAGCTCCAACTCTCTACTGAACTGGTTTCCATACATTTGTTTTTATGTTTCTTCACATTCACACAAACAATGCCAGTGAATTATTATTTCGTTTCTGTTGATATTAATTTATACACTCGACATTTTCTGTTTCAGAATTGAGCTAATCCGCCATACATAAAAGCATTAACCGTCGCAAGTCTTCCAGTGCACTTCCAGCCCCTCGAATTGCTTCCTTTCCAAATCATTACAACTCAAATTGGATTCCTAACCGCAATCATCATCACGATAACATGTTTATCGCCGCTTTCAAACCGACATAACCTTAGATTATTCGCGTGCATCGTGGTATGCATAATATTTCCTGAATTAAATTTATACCACCAGCATAACTAAAGAATGAAGAGAAAGAAAATTATGCAAACGCTGTTTTCGAAAGCTTTCAACGTTTTTTTCTGGGTTAACACTGATTGCAATCTACATTGTGTTCGCACGTCACCACGTCTTCTATTAATATCAATCAATAGATCTACCGGCTACACCTTCATATTAAATTGATGAAAACTCAAAGCTTCCAGGCCCCGAAAGTGAATCTCATTAGTTTTACCTAAATGCATCATCATCAGATATGATTCATCCAGAAACACATTTAATAAATATTCATAATTTATATAATCATGAATGCTCATCAAAAACATTTAAAACATGTTTAAACATTTATTGCTTGCACGCTTGTATTCATTTGAAACCCAACACCTCACACCTGTGCAGTTAATGTACCTAACTATTATAAAATGTATCGACCTAATCTTTCTTCATGTTTTCCATGTAATCAACTCAATTGAAACGAAACAAAATTAGATTTGTTGAATTATGCAACCCAATACTTAAAAGAAAATTCGTGTGACATGGTACACATGCTTACACAATAAATTACAGTGATATATGCGCACTAAAAACAAAATTTAATTATAAAATATTCTACGCTGGTTTACTTGGATATTTATTACGACGTCAGCAATGAAATGCACTTATTTTGAACTTTATCAACGTGCACGTGATGTCGACACGCGATATTTTCACGCTGGAATTAAAACAACAATAAAATTATACATCATAACCTGCAAAATGTACCTTTACATATCTGCAACCAAACATACACAAGCTACCGCATACATTGTTTTTTTATGTTTTAACGCGTTATTATACATTTATCAAGTGTAACGTAGGTTCTCTTAGTGTTTGAAGACGAGATGAAACTTGATCCACAATTGACACTTGATAATTAGACCACACCGTGTGGTTTTTACGTGATGAGTGCGGGTTAGAGACCACCGGGATAAAAAAATGAATTTGAGCGCGTTTTAAGATTATAAGGGTTGTAGAAGTGATATATATTATAAAACCTACATTAATTAATAGGTACGTATATGTTTATTATAATATTATAAATGCAAAAGTGAGTTTGTTTGTTTGTAACGTTTTCTAACGGAAACTACTCAACCGATTATCAAGAAAATTTGTACGCATATATTCAAAGATATTCCGAGGAACATAAAATACTTCTTGATTGATAATTTTAACTTAAAGGGGGTTAAACTAAGGGATGAAAATTGGTATAGTGATTCAATCATTTTTACTCAAAATACACGGATAAAATCGCTGTAAAAAGCTATTTGTGAGATATTTTAACAATAATTTGTCATTTTTTCCCTTGATTCATTAATAATATGAAAGAAACTTATCTAAATATTATGGTTTCGAGCACATCTGTATCACCATCAATTAACATTCAACTTTTACCAAAACACAGAACGATTAGCAAGACACAGGAACTAAGAGATTAAAATATTAACAAGATTAACTTCTCCGCCTCCCTAGGTAGCGATGTTTTGATGCCTGATGCGTTCCTCATGTGTCAGAAGTCCAAACATGCAAGATTCATCTCTTCTGCACCTCGAACACATTGATATTTTCGTTCATTTTTCTCTCGTCTCACTTTCGAACGTAAACAAATCGTGTTTACACACGTTAAAACGACTTTTATTTTATTTCTTCAAAAAAGAGTCGGTAGCGAGGGAAAAACATAAAATTTGACTACAGATGAAGGTAGAATTTAGGTGAGGCTGGATGGTTTTGTGGGCGGAGAAGGTAAGTTTTACGATTCCAGATGTTTAACTTGCTTCTTGCATCAACAGAGTCAACAGTCCCCGGAACGCAATGCATGGCATATTGGTCTTAGATATTTACTTTAATTAACGCGCAGGTGAGAGAGAACCAGAACATACTCGAATACGATATGTTTGCCAGGCAGCCCGAAATATTATATTTAACAAAATGGCGGACATCAAAATGGTCAAAATACCTATAAGAATAATCGTTTAAAAGTGAGAAAAATGAAGAAAATATGAATTTGTCACAAAAATATCTTCAGAATTCATTGAATTATTCAATAGATTATGATTATGATCTTTTTAGCAATAATTATTACTGCTTAGTGCAGTTATCATTCATTGCAACCATTGCTACGTTAGTTTACCGACGGCAATGGCAAAATACCTATAAATTTCCAGAATATTTCGGAAATGAGTATTAAAAATTTAAATTTACGCTTACCCAATTAATGATCCTTACTTTGTAGTTTTATTAAGATTCACTTTCACAATTGTTTATGCAGAATATTCATGATATAAAATATTTGTCACTAGTTTAAATAATTGTATGCACAATTTGTCTCTGGTGTTCTCAAATGTTTTGAATCACATATCACTGACTGAACTTGTTTGGTTGATAATAGAAGTTACAAGAGTTTTGTCCGAAGTCTTCCGAAGGAACGGCGCGGCGCGATCGCTGGATGTCGGATGCTGGGATGCGGCCTGCTGGCGAGCGCCCGGAGCGGATCTGCGCCTCCTGCCCGGCGCTCCTGCTCTCCCCCGTGGTATGCGAGAGTCGTGCAGCGCACGTTCGCGTCGTCGTCACCTCGAAATCACGCCCTTTCGCGTGCTATTTACATTCAAGCATATGTAGGTATGTTCGTACTTGTTTAAAATTAAATAAATACATTTATTACTTTTACAATTACCTATGTATAGGTAAACTTTCAAGTTTAGAATTATATTTTTGTGTGAATTTTATCTGTCTGTATTTATTATTGATATGAGTAGAAAATTTTAAAGGGTGAATTAATTCAAAATGTTAAAATGATGGATTTTTAACAGCTCTGTTATCTTTTCGAGTAGAATTTTTTTTCTTGCTTTTATTTATTATTTTTTATTATTATTATTTCTATTATTGTTTCGTTTGCAATTTAATCATATTTATTTTTTATTGAATTATCGTCGATATTATTTATTTCCATTTTAGGTACCTATATATCGTGTAGTGTTACCTACAATTCATTTTAATTTGGTTTTTATTTGGTTTTAAATTATTATTTAATTTACTGCTCAAAATGCTAAATATGTTAAAAAATAAAAATAAATTGTAACACAACATAAAATAGGTAATACAAAATTGAAATAAATTTCATTTAAAACTATTTTATAACCATTTTTTAACCGATCATAAAATATCTGCGTTTTCGTCAATTTTCGATTAAAAATAAACAAATATTTCAATTAAAACTTATATTTTCTCATTCATTATAAATCAAAATTAATTAAACATAAATATTACCAATATTTACATTTACAATTTCTGAAACAATATCCAGCACAAGTTTAGTTAAAACAGATTGATTTACAAAATGCGCTTATCCCCGAATTGTGAAATATTTGTTTGATCACGTTTCATTATTTAAACAAGTTATTTGCCTTCAAATTCATTTACACGCATATTGTTTCATTGGAAAGAAAAAAAAACTGCAAATAAATGAAATTCATCCATTGATGCCTGCAATGAATAATCGCGCGTTTTGAGAGTCGGACACGTTTGGTTAAACACTAAACTCTCATTGATTTCGAATTACAATCGTATAAATATTTGCGCCTGTTTATTGTTGATGTAAGGCGATATTTTCGATACAAAATAACGCCGAAACACATGACGTCATATTCTTTTGAGAAAACAAGGATCAATTACATTCGGAAATGTTTTGCTTATTGTTTTAACGTATATTCAATCCGTAAAAATTTATTTATATACAAGAATTTCAGATTAATCAGATAGCTATAATTATAGCAGTCTATAACAAAAATATTAAGATTTCTATGTAAAATTTTATTTATTTTCATTTTTAAATACAAAAATATCGTGATATGTTAAAAATTAATTTGTTTTCGACTTTTTTGGCAGTTTCAGTAGTTAATAATTAAAATAATTGACTACAAATAAATAAATTCTCTATAATTTCCTAACCAATTCACTTTTTGGCATTAATCATTGCAAAGTGACCATTAAAATGATTTAAAACAATTTTAACAACGTAAAATTTTGACCTATTGCAGTTTATTTAAAGCTATGAGCAAAACGCAGTACAAATATGCGTTTTGCGAGTGTCTTTCCACTTTGCGTGCAACGCACCGCAAAGCAAAAGACTCGCAACTGCCTCGTGCAGCATCATCTCATCATCTCTCCACAGCATCTTTCTCTCCCCCTACTATTATCAGTTTTGGACACTGTGCGGGGATATTGCTGCCCGTGGATGCGCCCGTTATATAGTGTTCGAGTACATAGCGTCCACCAATCCACGCGCACAGCCTGCCATAATATGGCTTCTGGGACGCGACGATTTCTGCGCGTCGTGCTCACTGCGCACGAAACAAACACAAGCGCAACTCAACGAAAAGTTTCAGAGATTTCTAGAATGCTTTCACCGCCCGCGCTGCCGCACTTTATGCTTCAACTGGGTTTGTGATGTGAACTTCAAGGTGCGCTGATTGCTTATGATTCATATCATTCTGTGAGTTTATGCTTGAGAATTCCGAGGATTAACATCAATAAGTTAAAAATCAAAATGGACGTGAAATTTTGGAATATTACCCAGTTTTTAGATTTTTACCAATCTGACTTATTTCTTCAATTATTTATAAGATCTTGAATAGGTTTAAAAGTTTAATTAAATGAAGGAAATTAATCTTATCAATATGTTAGGTACCTATGCGGTACCAAAGAATTTTGACTGATTCCGTTGATAGTTAAAATGTTGTTGTGCATGTATTCATCTTCCATGAATAAAAATCCAGCTGTTTTTTCGATTTCATCCGGATTAACCTATAGAAACAATAAATAAATCTTCAAATTATAAAAAATTATGAAAAAAAGCAAACGAGTACCTGAAAGTGTTTCAAATTAATGTCTATGTTCCTCTGGATATTCGGTATAATATACGACTCAATATTGTATTTTCCATCAAGAGTTTCCGCACGAATATATTTAAAGAAATGCGTCGGGACCGCAACTTGATTTTCACCAATAACTTCATAGTAAACAAATTTTGAGTTATTTGAGTAGTCACTAAGTAAAATTTATAAAGTTAATAAAAGGTTAGAGAACATGTGTAGTAATTTAATACCTGGGTTTAAACAAAGGACCTGAACACACATAAACATTTCTATGTTCTGTAGTAAGTGTCCGAACATGCGTTTCCAATAAATTCCATATTCCTGAATTTATTTGAAAATGTTGTGGCGCCATGTTTGTCAAGTAAAATGTATTTAGGTAATCATAAGCAAGAGATACATGATTTGCGGCTGGCGCAATATGACCACGAGAGTATCCGCTGGATTCATAATCAGCATTAGTTGATCTAAAAATATTTGTTTCTTACAACACATAAAAAGAAATTGTTTCTTAAATATAGAGTTTCCTTGTAGGCAACCCAATATACACATTGTGTGTTATTTTGTTGAATTCTCACCTGAAAAGTTTATGAACATCTGCATCTTCACTTGTTCTTAATCTATACAGTCTGTCAAAATATCTACACTTCTGTAAACTTCCCCTAGTTATCCGTTCAACGACATACTGTGGAATTCGTTTACTTTTATCGTAGTTAATAACAAAATTTCCCATTTCCCGCAGTTGTGTGCTGGGAATCGATTTAATTTCGACGATATGACTGAATAACACACGCACAGTTGTGTATAAACTAACTTCCCTTAGATCTACCTCCACAGGTTGAGACACTTTCACGTATTTTGTTACCTTAATTGACTTTAAGCTTGCCCCGAGTTTATAACCGAAGTAAAAACCGCATCCACTGGCACCAAGCGTCCACAATGTATACTTAACAATCCGACCCATAATGTTACGGTAATATTCTAATAAATACTTGCACTTTACACGTAGGTATATACTGAAATTCTGCTACTTTATGTTAGCTGTGAGACTATCACCATATATCGATTAGTGATAAGATATAATATCTATAAATTTAACCGCATAATGCATTAATTGTATCTGGGTATTTCAGGATCCGGAAAATACAAACATCAATAATTTAAAACATGACGCATTCGATACTTTTGTACATTACAGGTTTCTGTGACTTGTTTTGTTTGTTTTATCTACATTTTAATTTAATATTGCACTTGATGTTCATCAAATGGCATTGACTCAATTTTGTTTGCCATTAATTTTCTTAATACGACTTTTCGATACCCTGTCGAAAAAGAGCAACCCCGCAGCCCGTTCAATACTTTCTGGAGGTACCTGGAAGCTTGTAAGTGGCACTTCATTGTCAATTGCTTCATTTGGCATGACATAAGCTTCCATCTCTAATACGCCACTTGGTGTTTCGCCCACCAAGATTTTGAAGAAATGTGTTGGTACAGCGATGTTCTTTGCACCAATAACTTCATATTTTACATAATTCTTGCCATCATTACCTTTCCTGCAATCAAGTTTAGTCAATTTTACATTCCACTGGCTGCAATGCCTAAATTACCTTGGCAAGTAAAGAGGTCCAGTGCAAACATAAATATGAGGATATGTTTTACTTAATCTCCTTACATGCCTTTCTAATTTGTTCCATGAATCCCTATTAAATCCAACTCCTACTTGTGGAGCCATATTAGTCAAATAAAATGTTTCATCCACATGTTTCTGACTGTTTTTGTAGTTGCCTGCTGCTGCCATGTGTCCTCTATCATAGCCAGACCTTTTATAATCTGAGTTTTCTGCCCTGAAACAAAAAAGTTGCAAATTAAATAGTAACTTAATAACTTTGATTATTTAAACTGCAATCAAACCTAAAATAAGGATGTATTTTTTCATCTGCTTTAAACTCAGACAGTGACCTATCAACAGAATCACTCTTCTTGATGTTTTCAGGTGTAATATGTTCAAATACCCAGTGTGGCACTCGATTCCTTCTGTCATAGCTTAAAATATAGTTCTCAAACTCTCTTATTTGATCAAAACTAGGAAAACCAAAGTGGGTAATGTGTGGAAGACATTGAGATGTGCTTGAGGATTGAACTACAGCTGGGGAGAATGGTGTTGCAGCAGATACAGTGCCAAAAATGGGCAGTGCTGGTAAAACTGGCCACTTGCTTGGTGTGTTTTGGTTAAACTTGCTGTTATCTTCATTCTCTTGTGATGATTGCTTCCCATATTTAAGACGTTCACAGTATGAACCCAGGAAGTACGAAGCAACGCTTATTCCGCTCACCAGCGAGTATTTGAATAATCTTCGTGTTGCCATTACGCTTTGATATTTTTCACTACAGACATGCAGCAGTGAGGTTATATTCTCAACGTTTTGATTTTGGCGAGGTTTTAACGTCTTCCATCGCAATGGAAGCATGCTCAAGTACTCCAGAAGGTCCATTATCACGGGAGGAAATAAAGGAGTTGCGTAAAATTCGAAATAAACTTAAACGAACAATAAAAAGGACCCAAAACGCCCCAAAACCCCAATCTGCAACAGAGAAATCATCTGAAATTGCAACAAAAGGGCATGTTGCAGTTGTTGCAAGGGACGTTTTTGAACAAATAAACAATCAGTCAAGTATAACATCATTCAGCAGTAATAAACAACGAAAACGTCAACAATTAGCAGTGAATTTAGTTGAATTGCAAGCTCAACAAAGTTTCCACAATTCTGTTTTGAGTGCTCATGCAGAACATTGCAAAACTAGTAGTAAAATTAATGCAGTTCCTAATAAATTAGATAAAACTCAGCCAGTTATAACAAAAGGAAAGCATTCTGAGAAACCTAAAGGTAAAAAATTGACTGCTTTAAAAAAAGCTATTGTTAAAGCTGAAAACATTGAATGCCAGTCTGAAGCAGACATCAAAGAGATTAATTATGTTGATAATGTTGTAACACCACATTTGGAATGTTTAACTAGTGATTTTATGAAGAAAGTTGTTGAATTGCAAGAAAAATATTACCAGAAAAATTCTAATAAAGTAGCAATCAAGAAAAGATATATTGTTGGCTTGCATCAGCTTAAAAAGTACATTATCTTAAAGAAAATACATTTGTTTGTTATTGCTACTGATGTAAAACTGCGCTATGAAGATCCTTTGCATTTATTAATTAGGGATTTAACTAGTTTAGCAACTGAAAATGGAATATGCTCTGTTTTTGCATTGAAACGGCGACAAATCGGACGCATAACATTGAAGCATCTTCCAGTCACTTGTTTTGGTGTTTTAAATATTGATGGACTAAATGTAAGTTTGTTTTTAATTCAAATTTAATTAAAATAATGTGGATGCGATTTTCTAGGATGAATTCAAAATATTAGTGGAAGAAATTGCCAAATGTAAAAAAGACTTTATAGACTTACAAACTGAAAGATTAGATGGCGAAGACAACGAAGTTTATAATAATTTATTAGGAAATATTAAATCACTGCTTGTTCATTAATTCTTTATTGAATTTTACTACAAATTGTGTGATTTTGTGCTTTTTCAAACCAGACGTTTTCAACTCCAAGTGCAGGTTTGAAATTATGCAACCAACTATACACTTCGCGCGCATAAACATCGCGTAACGTTTTGAAGGTTTTGAAAGTGCTGTCTAGTTTAAAAATAACAGGTTTATATCTTGCATTAAACAAATACTCATCTCATTGCCCCAGTCGGTAGCCAATGAACCCAAGAGCGATTCAAGATTAAGAAGAATGAGGCGGTTATTGCTTATATTTTGTTTTCTGTGTTCAGCGTCGGCATATCGCAGTAAGTGTTAGGTTATCTTGCACTAAAAAATCATACAAATTCTAAATAAAAACATTTTCTACAGCATTTTATATTAATCCTGGTGATGTCTATGAACGTGTACCTGAAGATGAGGGTTTTCAGATCTTTTGCTACACTGGCAAGCCAAAGTATATTGTTCATTTGTGGCAGACTGTTAATGTAATTATTTCCTCAAGAAAACTAAGAACAAATAATAATAATGTCCTTTCACAGATACAAATCAGTGTACCAAATGATAATTATGAAGTTTATGAAGCAAGTTCCTCAAATTTGGTTGTTAAGGAATACACTGAGCACAGATCAAGCTGGAGAATTAATTTGTTTGCATGGAAGCAAAAACAATTCAATTTGGATCCCTTTAACAGCAGTTGCATTGGCATAGAGAGTACTGAGAATTATAGCATTAAACTGAATGTTATAAGGGTGGATTATTGGAAAGTCTTGAGACTTGTTCTGGGTATTTTGCTGTTCATGTATGCTCAAAGGATGAGTAGAAATACTTTGTTTTACTACATTTGTGGAATTACCTTTGGAATTTGTGCCTCTTTTCTTATTCTCATTTACTTTGTTAGCAAATTGTTCCCAAGGGTAAGTTATTTACAGGAAATTTTTATTATTGTACTATTATCATCATTATCAACAATAAAATTAAAATTTCAGAAGCCAATGATGTACGGCGTTGTTGCGTGCGGCTGGACGGTCGGGGTTTACATCCTACAACTCTTATGGGAGAACGTACGAGTTATTCTTTTAAGTTACCAGACGCATGTGGCTTGGTATGCGTTTATAACAGGAATAATTAGTTTTATAGGTATTTGTACTTGATTTTAATTGTAAAAACTTTATTTACCTCCGTGAATACTTTTTTCCGCAGTTTGTTATCGTATGGGTCCAGTTTCCAACAAACGAACGTTGAATTTAATCCAATGGACGCTGCAGCTTATCGCAATGTGTCTTATCTTCTTCAGTAGTCAGTTTCAGGAGGCTGCGATGGGTCAAATTGTTGTATTACTTTTGTTTCATTTATTCCCACGAAAATGGATTGACAAATCAAAAAGTTTGTGGTAAATTTACAAATGCTCCTAAATTTATGTAAAGATATTAATTTGGTTTTGATATGATCGCCTAGGCAAACACGTTTTCCACCAAAAATAGTCCCGTTAACGAATGACGAATACTACCACCAAGGTGTGAAGGAAACGAACAAAGCTCTAGAAGATTTACGAGCGTTTTGTTCCAGTCCGGAATGTAACCAATGGAAAATTGTCTCCAAACTTAAAGATTCAAAGAGGTGCCTAACACTTTCTTAAATAATTTATTCTTTTCAGATGTTGCAATAAATATTTGTTCCTTTAGGTTTGCGTCGTTTATTGAAGGCCAATCGCATCTATCCGATCAAGAAATGCTCGAGTATGAAGCATCGATCGTCGACGAAGACGAATACACTGACGATGAGGAGGATAATTACACTGACGACGAGTACTAACCACTCGCGCAGATAATGACTGAAAATTTCATGAAATACATCGTGAAAAGACAAAAAATAATCACAAAAATGTTACAAAAAACACTAACCTGTTAATCTCCACACTTGTAACAATTTTTCAACTTTATCGAAGTAAGCAAAACGTAATTTATGACTGAATAAATGATTTGATACAATAATTTGTATAAAAAATGGCAATTCAACATCAGGGAGTGTAAACTATTTGGTACAAACACCGGAAAATGATTTATTACTTATTTACAAATTTGGTAAAAGTTTACGATGCGTAATTTATTAATGTCTTTCTTTTGCAAATTGTATCCTGTTGTTTCCTTAAACAAAAGGAGTTTTAATCACTTAAAAGCATCCGCTTCCTGTTAAATTTTGCAAGCTAACGTTTATTTTATTCACGAAAATGTACATGTAATTAAAATTATCAAATAGGATTTAATTTTAACGCGCAAATCAATTTTTTTTCGTTTTGCGTATTTATTTGTTACGCAATAGTGAGTCGTTACTCTGATTGGTCAAATTGAAATTGTTTTTGTTTAATCAGAGTCGAAACTCTCGATGGCATTGAACTGATTTAACTTCTTCGCCTTCAATTTTATCCGCGTGCAAGAAGTGCGAACTCACAAACCCGTCGTTTAAATTACCTCTGGTACTTTTCCACTGACTTTTGCGCGCCGAACAGAGGCATTACTTACATACCGCGCATGTACTACTTTAGTACACATTGCAAGTTTTGCAAGTTTTATTTGTTTAGTCAATGGAATTCTATAAGGAAAAAATGTGCAAGAAACGCTTCAATACTTGCAGACTGCGCAAAATTGATGAAATTTAACCTTCATTTTTTACTATATTAATTAAACATTAATTTGATTAAAATTGATACTCATTTAATAAAACGTATCATCACGCATCAGATTAAGTGATTAATCGCCTTATATGAAGTATCCAGCGAATAAATGCAAAGTTTGCAACTTTCTTTTCGGAGAAATTTCGTTTTGATGCCGTTTTTGGACAAAATTGCCTTAATCTCAATCTTTCTCAGTTCACACACACTCTAATTGGACATTTCGATTGATTCAAGAATCTAAAATATCCCACTTTATCAAGTTTATGTTTGTTTCAAACTATTTGAACTGTTTTTTGATAAATTGAGACCAAAACTTGCATAAATTGATTAAATTGAATACAAATTTGACTCAACATTCAACAGAAACATAAAAAATAATTCAGAAAAGAATAAAAACAAATTAAAAGTGTTTAACTTGTTATTATATCATTTTTTCGGTTGGTTCATGACGCATTTTGTGTTTTGTTTCGTCCTAATGACCACACAAGTCGTAAACTGCGCATTCGCGGATTCGAAGTTTACCTACCGCTTGTCCTCGCTCTTGGAGTGTGTTTTACGCTGAAAAGTAATGTCGAAAGATGTGAATGGAGAAAGACGACGCGCCATAACAATCACATTGCCCGCCGCAACGCAATTAAAACCACGCGGGTCGGACGCGTTCCACGGCTCCGCCAACAACTCCAGAAGAGACTTAAGTCTACAAGATGTTTCGCATTCACAATTCGCGCACACTTGACTTAAAAGTTCATTGCACGCATTGCTTTCGAACATACTGTCTGCACATGTGTGTGTGAGTTCCTCGCGTTCTCCGGCCGACGTCGCTGGAATTAGTTGCGCACGCTGAGCATTACGATTTTAGTATCACGAATTCTAAAAATAGACGCGCCCGGCATGCACAATACATGCGCGTGTATAAGAATCCATGTGTTGGACACACTGTTGTGTTCACATATGCATGCGGGCATAATTTAAAACCAGTAATGGGCATTCGGCGCTCTCCTTCTTGTTCTTCGATGGCGCGAGCGCGCTATCTATCTATCGATATGAAGAGTTCAACGATTTCTTAACAGCCGCTGGCGTGCGCAGAGACGAGAAGAAGTAGCGTGTGCTTGAGAACGAGAACTTGAGGCGACCTTGTGCGCACTGTCCCAAATCTTTGCCGACCGAAGAAATTGCCCAAGAATGCATGCATGGTCGGACTTTTATTGCAAGTTCTTTTTTTTTTACATAAAACTGACCTTCTCTACAAGCACAGAGAGAAAAAAAGTGATACATGAACAAGACAATATAAATGTTAATAAAATTAGCAATAGTTTATTCAAAAACCGATGAAAAATTGTTCTTTTGGAGTATATTTCTTTGTTTTTGTGAAAATTTTAAATTTCCCATTGTAAAACTTAGAAACAAAAAGTTTTGTGATTGAAACAAAAACAAAAACCGTTAAAATCGTCCTTGACAATGCGAATAATAATAAAATTAACAATATTTTATGCAAAATATGCTTAAATATTGTACTTTTGAGTATTACTTTCTGTTTTTACAAAAAAATATTTTTTGTTGTAATTTAATAGTGAAGAATTCAATGGACATTGAAGAATGTGACACATTTACTATTTCCACTAATAGAACTAAATTAATCGTTAGAAATTTCCATCCGTTCATAAAACAATTCCAACAAAAGCAATAAAAATCTCGGTGTTCGATTGAAGCACATAAATCACATTATGCGGAACCGCACGGCGCAATTAAAAACAGATAAATGTTGAAGCGCTCAAAGTTAAACGAACCGCGTTTGCTCCAATCGCCACAATAAAATTGCATTATATCGTCAGCGTTTTCATTACGATTATGTACGTAATGACGATGGTAGCTGCCCGATGTTATTGTTATTGCTTATTAAATATTTAAACTATTGTGCCTTGCGCGCCTATATGCTGATCGATTTCGGCTGATGCAACCACGGCATTCTGTTACGACTTACAAATGTAAAAAAAAAACTGTACATGCTTATAATTAACTTTTTTTTTACTTCATATGAATTAACTGGAATAGTACTAATTTTTGTATGATGCAAGAGTAATGATCAGGAAATAATCTAAAAGGAATCAATCTGAGATAAGTAATTAAAAAATTGCAAACATTTGTTTTATCAGAGTAAAATGGTGGGAAAAAGATGAGTATGAACAAAACTAGTACTAATTTTTGTATGATACAGGAGTATGGATCAGAAAATAATGAGAAAAGAATGAATTAATGAAATTTTCGCAAAAAAATTGGAATAAATTGCCAAAATTTAATCAAAATTATTTCAATTATTGTAAAATAATAGAAGAAAGCTGTGAATAAACACAATTAGTATTAATTATTATATGATACAAGAGAAATTATCAGAAAATATTCAGAAAAAAATTAATTTTTCTAAAAATTTGCAAAAAAATTTCTCTGCACTTGAATTCCATGAATACTATATTCATCACAGTGAAATGAAAGCTGTGAATGAACTAAACACACCTCGACACATATGAGTATCATAAACTGTACTTCCATAGAGACGACATAACTGTTTGCATGTTTGAGCACATTTTCTATTCATATCGTTATGTAAACGTTGAAATCCTGCGCCTCTGTGTGCGCCCGAAAGAAAAAGAAGGTAGGTAAGTAAAAATAAAATAAAAATGCGGCCGGATTACGCAACCCATCTTAACTAAAGTCAAGTTATCTGGCTTGGGACGTTGAAGCGGCGTCGAAACATTGAATGAAGTCGAACGTTGCTTGGAGAGGTTGGTTGCACTCCCAGTCACAGACAATCCGATTCATTCATACTTCATATACACACGTCGATATGAACCGTGTGTTGTTGGTTGTTGTGTGGAAGGCAATGCAATGAATATTCATTCATTCAGAGAATCCGAGAAAGTTGAGAGCACGAAATTTGTGTAGGATAGATATATCTATATAAGCTGTGTATTGATTGATGATGTAAGACGTGTCAAACACGCCGAAATCGAATTTTTGTTGCGTGTAGGTCGGCTGTGTGGTAGGGCTTTGATGGATGTGTGGCAATCTGATGCATTAATACATTATTCAAAACGGATGTTTTAGTTTTCATTCATTATGCAGAATATTCATGTGCTTGCGCAATTTACACGCAAAATTCGGCATGTTGTATTAACATGTTGTGGATTAGTCATCGGTTTTCCAGACGTAAAAATTAAAACAAAAAAAACAATTTTGACCAGTTGAGTTATGTTATGTTACCCTGTAGACATTTAGGTTATGATAGGTTATGTCAATTTTGTTTCATGTCGTATTTCCGCGTTACTTTTGTTAAATTCGTGTTTTTAGCACTCTTAAAACTCGCTAATTGTTTCCATTGAATTAACATGTGTTAAACTTAAGTAAATTCATTGAAATGTACTAGCATAGTAATGGAAATTACGTGTCGACGATTTGCGCACATGCAAAAATATCATATTTAGAAAATTGCCATACGTTTGCATATTTTTTGTCGATTAGGTTCTTGTAATCTGCTTCTTTATTTCGCACACGTGTCATTGCAGCAAGTACGCATATGGTATGGTAAAAGTAAAATTTGCACATACCTACCTGCAATTATCAATTTATATCATAATATGCAGAATTATTTATGCGGAATTATGCGCGGCGAATACAAATGTTGATTTATGTAATTGATGTTTATCACCGGTGTTGATTGGAGTAATTAATTTAATTGATAGTGTCACATATGCACACACTCAGTAATTATACTCTACTTAAGAAAAGGGAATTAATTTATGAGTTTAGCAAGAGTAGCGGGTGTTTTTTGATCTTTTTAACGTGAGTTTCTAGTTCTGTAGAGGAAATCAACCTACATAACCTCATTTATCAGCTTACAATTGACGTATTTTGTAGGTTATGACGCATTGACGCTTGATGCATATGTGTAAGATTACAAAACGACGTTTTTATATACAGTAGAGTCCGGTTATAATGACATCGAAGGGAATTGACAAACACGTCATAATAAGCGGACGTCATACAAACCGTTTTGTGAAATAAAAACACCGTAATTACAAATGTATATAAATGTATACATACATATTAAATTAAAATCAAAATTGCACATAATTACACATACAAGAGTATTTTTTACTGTTTTAAATAATCTGTCATTTTTGTCTGCTTTTGTTTTTTTATTTTATTGTAAAAACAGCCTCTAATACTATTATAAATAAACATTTTTTGCACAGTAACAAACACAAGAAATACATGACACAAATAATTAGACACAAACAATAAATTCATCTGGGGCAGCGTGAC